GGAGGGAGGGGGAAGAGAGGGATGGAGGGAGGGGAAGAGAGGGATGGGGGAGGGGAAAGAGAGGGATGGAGGAGGGGAAAGGAGGAATGGAGGGAGGGGAAGAGAGGAAAAAAAGGAGGGATGAGGGAGGGAAGGAGGATGGGAGGGGGAGGAAGAGAGGGATGGAGGGAGGGGAAGAGAGGGTGGAGAGGGGAAGAGAGTGTGAGGGAGGGAGAGAGGATGGGGGAGGGGGAGAGAGGGGTGGAGGGAGGGGATAGAAGAGGAGGGGAAAGGAGGGATGGGGGGGGGAAGAGAGGGTGGAGGGAGGGAAAGAGAGGAGGAGGGAGGGAAAGAGAGGGAGGAGGGAGGGGGGGAGAGTGGAGGGGAGGGGAAAGAGAGGGGGGTAGGGAGGGAAAGAGCGTGTGGAGGGAGCGGGAGGGAAAGAGAGGGGTGGAGGGAGGGGGGATAGAGAGGGAGGAGGGAGGGGAAAGAGAGCGGTGGGGGGAGGGATAGAGAGGGGGGAGGGAGGGGAAAGAGAGGATGGAGGGGGGGAAAGAGGGTGGAGGGAGGGGGGAGAGAGGATTGGAGGAGGGGGGAAAGAGAGGATGGAGGGAGGGAGGGGGAGGAGGAGAGGGGGGGAAGAGGGGTGGAGGAGGGAAGGAGGTGAGGGAGGGGGGGGAAGAGAGGATGGAGGGAGGGGGAAAGGAGGATGGAGGGAGGGGGAAGAGGGGGATGGGGGGAGGGGGATAGAGAGGGATGGAGGGAGGGGAAGAGAGGGAGGAGGGAGGGAAAAGAGAGGGATGGGGGGAGGGGGAAGAGGGGGATGGAGGGAGGGGATAGAGAGGGATGGAGGGAGGGGGGAAAAAAGAGGGATGGAGGGAGGGAGGGGGAAGAGAGGGAGGAGGGAGGGGATAGAGAGGGATGGAGGGAGGGGAAGAGAGGGATGGAGGGAGGGGAAGAGAGGGATGGAGGGAGGGGAAAGAGAGGGATGGAGGGAGGGGGAAGAGAGGGGATGGAGGGAGGGGATAGAGAGGGATGAGGGAGGGGGAAGAGAGGGGTGGAGGGAGGGGGAAGAGGGGGATGGAGGGAGGGGGAAGAGAGGGATGGAGGGAGGGGAAAGAGAGGGATGGAGGGAGGGGAAAGAGAGGGATGGGGGGAGAGAGGGGTGGAGGGAGGGGAATGGAATGAATAATGGGGGGAAGAACACACAAACTGGATGCGGCTATGCATGCTCTGAGCACACAGAGAGGACTAGAGATAACCAGACATGGCCAATGGTGTCAGCCCTATTCCCATAGAGGGGCTCTGGGAAACAAGAGCGGTGCAGAGTCCCCCTTTTCAACCTCTTCAAGCAGGGCAGAATGTAGAATGGGAAGTTAATGACTCTCACATCAGGTCTCAATGTCCTTCAGGGTCTCTTTAGACATGTCAATCAGCTGGAGAGGCTTGAGGAAAGGGGGGAGGAGGAGAAGAAGGGGTGAAAATGTTTGGGGTCTGTTCTGTTTGTTCCCGGACCCTGGTTTTTAATTTACATGGTAAAGAGCAAGGATGATGGAGAGTGGAGATACAGGAAAGGGCACAGGTTGAATACAGAGAAATAAAAAGAAAGAGAGAGTGGAGAGAGAGGAGAGAACGAGAGGAGAGAGGAGAGATAGAGGAGAGAGCAAGAGGAGAGAAAGAGAGAGGAGAGAACGAGAGGAGAGAGGAGAGATAGAGGAGAGAACGAGAGAGAGAGGAGAGATAGAGGAGAGAACGAGAGATAGAGGAGAGAACGAGAGAGAGAGGAGAGATAGAGGAGAGAACGAGAGATAGAGGAGAGAACGAGAGGAGAGAACGAGAGGAGAGATAGAGGAGAGAGGAGAGATAGAGGAGAGAGGAGAGAGGAGAGAGGAGAGATAGAGGAGAGAGGAGAGAGGAGAGAGAGAGATAGAGGAGAGAGGAGAGAGGATAGAGGAGAGAGGAGAGATAGAGGAGAGGCCCTCTCATTTTGCAAAAAATTGTAGACTCCACACAAATACAGAATAAAACGTTTTTAAAAAGTAAAAAAAGATGACATGGTTGTGCATGAATGACTGGTTATACTGTGTGATTGGATATTACTAAACAAGGTAAAATAATAATAGGCTGTGCATTACAATCTTGCAGAGTGTTTATATCAGGGGTGTCAATCTCATTCCATGGATGGCCTAGTGTCTGCAGGTTTTAGGTTTTTTCTTTCAATTAAGACCTAGACAACTACATTTACATTTACATTTACGTCATTTAGCAGACGCTCTTATCCAGAGCGACTTACAAATTGGTGCATTCACCTTATAGCCAGTGGGATAACCACTTTACAATATGTTTTTTTTTCTTTCTTTCTTTCTTTGGGGTGGGGTAAGGGGGGGTGGAAGGATTACTTTATCCTATCCCAGGTGTTCCTTAAAGAGGTGGGGTTTCAAATGTCTCCGGAAGGTGGTGAGTGACTCCGCTGTCCTGGCGTCGTGAGGGAGCTTGTTCCACCATTGGGGTGCCAGAGCAGCGAACAGTTTTGACTGGGCTGAGCGGGAACTGTGCTTCAGCAAAGGTAGGTGAGCCAGCAGGCCAGAGGTGGATGAACGCAATGCCCTCGTTTGGGTGTAGGGACTGATCAGAGCCTGAAGGTACCGTTCCCCTCACAGCTCCGTAGGCTGTGAGGGGTAGAAGGATTACTTTATCCTATCCCAGGTGTTCCTTAAACTAGGTGTGGGGAGTTCCTTATTATTAGTGACATTAATTCATCAATTAAGTACAAGGGAGGAGCAAAACCCGCACACTCAGCCCTCCGTGCAATGAGTTTGACACCTGTACCTTAGGTTCTCGAAATTTCTGTACAATGAATCAAAGATATGTGGCGACTGCCCCCTGTTGGTCATGGTCCAAAAATGAAAGGTGCATATAGTCGGTGGTTGTCACCTTGCCAAAGTGTGCACTATCACTGCACATTACGTACTATTTAGTTAGTTGTACATGGACAGAACAATTATCGAAGAGGGTGTATATGAAAATTATGAATATGCATCAATCGTTTCATCATGGTGCACGGAGAAAGACGTTGACCACAGGTGTGAATAGCCGTGCCCCGCCCTCCTAACCAGACTTCTAGTTAGCCAACAAACACCCTTGTCATATGTATTTATCTGTCTTTCAATCAATGTCATAACAATTCAGTCTCTCCATCTGCTAATTGCTTTGGTTTCTCTTCACAACCCTCCATTTTCAACCTTCAGACATTTTTTATCACTGTCTTTGCCTTCGACTTGCCGCAGTGCACATGTGGGGAATATGCATCACAAAAAAACTAACTGCGATTGTGTATCCATCCGCGCAAAAATAATTATTTACTAAACGTTTGCATATACTCGTTTTAAATGTTGGGTTTGTTCTCTTTGAATAGATAATGAATATGTAATATCAACGTTATCAAAATGTTCATAAAATACTCTCATTTTCTGTACAGTTTGTGGATTGCTTATTTTCGTTGGATCTATTTTCTGGCTAAAATAAATAAATCCCTGGCTGAGGCTCATTCGCCATTTTACGGCTCGAGAGTCACTTTGTTGAAGACGAACCAGCACTTCATGATTGCGAATTTGAAGGAAATAATTATATTTTAGTCCCGTATCCGTAATTTACAGAGATAGGTTGATTGCTAACAGTTATATTGCAAGGACGGTAAATCGCATAGGAGCTAGCAACTGTTGAAAATAGTGACATTATTCTTGACTAGCTAGCATTGACTCTGTGGCTAGCATAGCTAGGCTAACAGCTTTAGCTAGTAATAGCTAAAGAAACGTCGACCAATCGACGTATATAATCTAAAATTCTCTTAATTTGATATTCTCAAACTACAACACTGACGACCACCGTGCAAGACTCGAAGACCGAGGAGATGGCGAGCTCCGTGGGAAATGTGGCTGACAGCACAGGTAGAGCTCGCGCCCGTTAGCTTCCTAGCTAGCTAACGTTAGCATGACACGAGCCTCTGCTAACATCTTGCAGAACCATTGTTTACTTTGTGCCGGCGTGTAACTAATCCAAATGTTGCGACATCTTCAATTATAACATGTCTGTTAGCCCGGTGTGTCTATGTAGCGATCTGTTGTGTAGATACACAACATTGATCAGCTAGGTATATAAACCTGCCAGACATGAAGCTGGAAGGATGTTATTGGCTAGTTTGACCATAATCCCGCAAGACAACATTCGTTTTAGTTTCTTGATGGCTTCACTAAGGTTTGAAACAATGCAATTTAGCTAACTAATGTATCTAACGTTTCTTAGCTTGTTGATCCTGTGTGCATTGATTGTGTTTGTAGTGTTGGGTCTGTTTTCCCTTGACATTTTAGGCATAAATCACATTTTTGCTAGCTTCTTAGCAAGATGTTGATGGGGGTTGTTTTTGTCTGCCAACTAGCGTCCATTTGTAAACAATCACCTTACGTTTCAACCAGCTATGTACTTTGGTCCATTTTCATTTCATCGCACAACATTGCGTTTTTCATAATATGTCATGTCAGACAGTTCTAACTAGTTAATGTTAATAGTTTTCTTTTCAAGATAGCTAGTCATCAGCGTCGTTAACGTTAGTTAAAATCATAATAATTCACTTTCTAGCTAGCAGTCTTTCAAAGGAAGAATGCCTGCTGCTAATTTCAATGACAGTTGACTTGGCCTATAAAATTGAGAATAACAGTAGCTATCTAGCCCATAGCCACACATTTTGTCTCTAAAACGTGACTCATACCCTGTGATTGATTGACAGTTAATCGCAACACAGCAATTTATATTCAGCTATTGATTGATGTACTTCAACAGTGTAATTATTTAGCAACCAAAGGCATTTATCAATTATAGTCTGATTTATGATTTCTCCAGTACTTTTTATATCTCATTCGTTTATTATTTTGTCTCTGTCCTCATGTTCTTCATCACCTCTAACGTGTTGTTTCCCCCTCCTCGGGTTGTTGGGTGTTGGTGCTACAGAACCGACAAAACAACGTATGCTTTCCTTCCAAGGGTTGGCCGAGCTGGCGCACCGGGAGTACCAGTCGGGTGACTTTGAGGCTGCCGAGCGTCACTGTATGCAGCTGTGGAGGCAGGAGCCCGACAACACGGGCGTCCTGCTGCTGCTCTCCTCCATCCACTTCCAGTGTCGCAGGCTCGACAGGTGAGGTGGGGGGGTAGGGTGAAAGACCTGGAGGTCAGAGGTCAGCTCACACTGCAGTCAGTCTACATGATCTGGAGAGAATACTGGGCCCACTGTGACTGGATGGGACTGCAGTACTCTCGCGCTGCTGTTAACTGGGGCTGCAGTACACTGGCCACAAACAGTGCATGCTACTACTACACGTCTGTGGTGGTGTTGGGGAGTGACGAATGGCTGGTCTGTCAGTAATCGCCCTACATGTTCTACTGGTCTTCTCTTTTCCCACTCTGAAATGACTCCATTTATGGTGGTGGTGGCTGTTTTCTCTTCTTACAGGTGTTCGAGGTGTTAGGTTTGATCTGTCTGTCTTTCCCGGGTGTTTTGGGTTGTTGCTCTGTCACGATGTACAATAAGCACAAGGAAGTGATTTGTGAAATTTGAATGAAACTTAAGCTGAACCCCCACTATCTCACAGAACACGACACACCAGCTAGTGTGCTAAATGAGATTTCCCATTCACTAAAGTACCAGTACTGGACACCACACCGCCACATCTCTCCAGTACTGGACACCACACCGCCACATCTCTCCAGTACTGGACACCACACCGCCACATCTCTCCAGCCCAGTACTACCACCCATCCTACCAGCCTCGTGACTCCCTCCACTCCTCCGTCCCTCCAGGTCTGCCCACTTCAGCACCTTGGCCATCAAGCAGAATCCTATGCTGGCTGAGGCCTACTCCAACCTGGGCAACGTGTACAAGGAGCGCGGCCAGTTGCAGGAGGCTATAGAGCACTACCGCCACGCCCTGCGGCTGAAACCAGACTTCATCGACGGGTACATCAACCTGGCAGCAGCCCTGGTGGCAGCGGGAGACATGGAGGGAGCCGTCCAGGCCTACGTCTCCGCCTTACAGTACAACCCTGTGAGTGGACCTTGGACCCAGATCATGTACCTCATCATAAGCCAGTAGCCCAGCACAAAACCCAATGTTTTTGTGTTCTGCCAAACCTTGACTCTGAACATATCTTACACCCTCAAGTTTACCCCAATCTGATATCTGTTCTAGTATTGTCCTACCCAGACATTTGATGATCCCTTGTAGATCTCAGACTGTAATATGTGTTAGTCAGTCTAGTAGTCCATTTCTGGTTTGGAGCTCTAATCTGTTTGTCTCCTTTTGTTTCCTGTCAGGATCTGTACTGTGTACGCAGCGACCTGGGGAACTTGCTCAAAGCGCTTGGGCGTTTGGAAGAGGCTAAGGTATGTTCCAGGGGCTTGACACGGCACAGGTTTTTGCTTATCTTTTGTTTGTTTTAAAATTTGCTTTGTACTTTTGATTTCTTTGTAAGATGTTTTGTTTGTCAGATATATCCCCCCCGCCCCCTTTGAGCCCGATGGCCAAAGGTGACCCTTTTATTATTTTTATTTTTTTCTCCCCACTCAGACTCATTCACTGGAGTGTGATTTTTCTCTTTCCCTGATGCCATCTAAGGCCCCTCTCTACCCCCCACTCGCCCTGGGCAGGCCCTACACCCTGGCTCTGTGCTGGCCCTAACCCCCCCCCCCCCAATGATCCTCCCTCTTATGAGGCTAATGTTGCTTTATTTTGAGTGGGGGGGGGGGGGGGGGGTCTAGACCCCCAACCCATTAAACCCTCCTTTTTTTTTTAAAGAACTTTTGAGACGGCTTTATACTTTTTTCCTTTGAGCCTAGCTAGAATAGAGGCATCTCCATTCTCTCTCCCCCCCCCCCCCCCCCCCCCCCCCCCCGCTTTCTCTCTTTAGTCCCACAATGCTCTGACCTCTCAACCTCTGTTCAGCCTCCCTCCCCTCACAGGAAGAAAGGCTGTGCTTTTCAAATTGGTAGCAATAATCATGGTTCTGATATGGATATTTTATAAACTCATAAAATGATCAAAACAAAGGTGGTTTTGGAGGGATAATGCTGGCTCGGTCTTGGAAGGATAAATGAACTGATGAAGTTAGTTAATCTCTTTGCAAAATGCAAAAGATAAGATGGCCTCTAACCAAACCACATTACTCCAATTATTTAACAACAAATGGACCACCCAATCCAGTTTTCCCACTACCCATGCAGATTTGCTAGTCTTCTATTTTATGGAGTACCCTCTGACCCCTTTATTCCCTTTATCTACTCTTAGCCCTGCATATGGCCCATTTATGTCTATCCATCTCCCTGAAACGATATCTATACCTTCCCTGGGTTGGGTGAAAGTTGGAGCTGTGGAGTTGACATCTTGCTAGGTGACCTGGTGCCAGGCCATCTTATTTGGTGCTAGAAGGGGGAGGAGCTCCAGGGAGCTGCCAGCTCATCGCCAGGCCAGCCCCCCTGCACTGTGGCTCCTCCCCCCGCGCGCTCGCTAGGCCCGGTGGAGTGTGCGCGCTAAGAGCTGCCTTCCTGACGCCCCAATCAGAGGCTCGACACGACCCCACAGTGCTCTCAAAATCCAGGCCTAGGGCTGCTCCCCCATGTGATCAGAAACAGCCAATGTTGCCACTAGTGCCAACTGGGCCCTGCTGGTTATCTTATCTGACGCTCCCTGCTGTCTTAGAGTGGGTGAATAGTAAGAGTATGAAAACGTGGTACAGTCCTATCACACACACACCCCTCCTTACAAGAGCCTGTAGTACGGTCCGATGCTGCGTCAGGCAGACAGCTCACAATCTGCACTCCGCCGCCCGCGTTCAGTTGGCTGGGTTAGAGAGAAACGCACGCTCAGCAACCAGCGTTGACCTCTTTATTTCAGCGCTACCTATGGAGGCTTCTAGATACCCAATCATTACACACCAAGGCTTTTCTTCTCACTCCCCATTGGCCAGGATTCAGGAACAACCGGACAAAGAAAAAGCATTAAAAAAGAACATTTTTGAAGAAGAGGTTGAAGGAAAGCGTATGCTATGACATAATATTCCCAAAGAAATGTGATCAGTTCATTTGATGAAGATCAAGCTAGTTATCCTCCCTCCTTTCTCCTAGCTTGGCCATACTATAATATTAGTGATTGATAAAACACATTATCAAAGCCTTTCTTCCCTCCTGCCCTCCCGGAGCATCCATTATTTTCTCGGAAAATACAATAAACATTGCGTGAGTGTAAATAGAGCAGGTTGTCTTTTACTTGTGCTTTTTTTTTTTTTTTTTAAGGACATTTTAATTAATTTCCATATGAGAATTAAAAAAATAATTGTGTATTGTTTGCGAACTTTTACTAACGCTGTTGTTTTATTTTGTCTCTTGGTTTTTTTTTCCACGACTGATGATGTTATTTAGAAGGTTGTTTCAGGTGGGTGATGATGTTACTCCTGCTACCGTACCCTAGGTGCCCTGGCTGAAACACGGATCACTAGGGCAGCATCAGTCCTCAACCGCCTGCTGCTGAGGCTGCCGCCCGCCCCTCTGACAAAGTCCAAACAATATGGTAACGGGTTTGTAACTGCCAGCAAAAGAAAAACCATGAACTACTACGTTATGCCTGAGCAAGAAGCTCTTCTGTCTTGTGGCTTCCTCTGAAGCGCAGAGAAACAACACAAAAGTTTTAAAAAATAAAATAAAAAAAAGTACAGTAAGCATTCCTTTAAATATCTTCATTTACCATAACGGCCAAAACGTATATCAGTAAATAAAATAAAAACATGGCAAACATGGGAGCAATTAGTGGGAAAAAGATAGTACAGAAAAAGTATGAACCCTCTAACTCTTACTTGTTGATTGTTGTCCTGTTGATTTAGTTTTTTTCCTTCTTGGTTTTGGAGTTGCAGCGTTCTGCCGATGATGCAGACAATGCGCTGTGAGTGTGCAGTAACGCAGGGGCTGCGCAGCGAACAAGGCAACCAAAGCCAAAAAGGCGTCAGGCACAAAGATTCCCCTCCACCCCCCCGGCTTGCTGGGTACAGACCCCCTCTCCCCCCAACGCCCTCTCAGCCTGGCACCCAGTGTACACACAGCCTCCCAACAGGACACCATTTGGCTCTCTAAAACAACTCCTCTATTTCCCCATTGCCCTGCAGAACAGCCCCTGGGCTCTGGTGGTAGATCAACTCTCCTCTTAGGGCATCAGACACTTGGCTGTCTTGATGCCCCTTAACTTCCAAAACTCCCCATCTCTATATTCCCCCTTTATCTAACCAGCCGCTTGGCTGCGGTCTCCATGTCCTCTAACCCCGTCCCCTGCCACTCATTGGTCTTGAAAGGCATTGTGGGTACAGAGAGTGTGGCAGTCTGGGTAAGCAGGGCGTCTCCCGGGGCTCTGGGTCTGCAGCCGGTCCGCGACGCGGCCCGGGGGTCAGCGAGCGCAGCGGCGGCAAACAACGACTTCTTGTTGCTAAGCAGCAGCAGGGTCGGCAAATGCGGCAGTAGCGGTGTGCGTGGTAACTGGTTGTAGCCCAACGCACACCTAGGACACGCCCGCCCACGTAGCTTTTTGTGCGCATGCATTACAGGGACCTCCACCTGCACGCAGCACCCGCCATTCAAGGTTGTGAGGGATACCGCTAGTTAATACAGTCAGCTATCAAATAGACTGCAACCAACATAGAAGTTACTGGTTGTTTTTAAGAATTTGAATATCATTTGGGTATTTTACCATCACATACATCAACAGCTTATTATCGGCTATACATGACATAATAAAGCAGAAAAGGCTAGTCAACGTTTCTGTTCCTCGTATTGTGAGAAAGAGGCCATGATAACTGCAGAATGTCGGTCTGCGTGTGGGTGCTGGTTGGATCTGCGCAGCGTAGGAATAAGCAAGGAAGCTTAGCGCTGCAGATTTCAGCGCAGGCGAGCCCATGCTGCACACTCACTTTTTGCTTTAGTTGAGAACGGTCACTAATTCTGTTTCCTCTACCCCTTTTTGTTTTTCTTCCTGTTTTATTCTCTTCATATCTTTATTTTATTTTACAACCTTTCCTCCTACCTCCTCTACCACTGCTCCCCTTCTTCCTCTGGTTTTGATTGTTAACCCATTTGAAGGCGTGTTACCTGAAGGCTATTGAGACTCAGCCCAACTTTGCAGTGGCTTGGAGCAACCTGGGTTGTGTGTTCAACGCCCAGGGGGAGATATGGTTGGCCATACACCACTTTGAGAAGGTAAGACTTTTCTGCACAGCCGATGTAAAAACAAATGACAAACCAGGATAGTATAGTGGGACTAAGGGTTCATGTCTGGGCTGAAACGTTTGATAATTCACATACAATACTATTCATTTCTATGTACAGTTCTAGTAGTGTACTGTGTACCGTTCTTTCTCTGTTCACTGGTATAAAGGGGATTTTTAGTTAGTTCTGATTTTTTAAGTTAGTTTAGTAACAAATTAGAAGACTAGTCGTGGATATAGTCAATCATAAATCAATCTGGTTTAATACAAGTTGCAACAGGAGCAGAGAAAATGTCTAACTTGGCCTTCGCCGAGAAGGCCCTTATCCTAATTACACAGAACCATTAAGCCAAAACAACATTGTCAGCTGCTAGCTACAGAATCAGTGTTCCACATAATACAACAACAATCAGTGTCCTTGGACATGTAGTCTGGCGTCAATCCCTATCAACAGATATGAGTAACATCCAGAATCTCATCTAGTGACCAACCTGTGACATAAATGTCACAAATAGAACACTTGAAATCATGTGAATTACATTAATGGGAACATGTATAAATATATGATTAGCATTGTGTTAATTACTCTTAACTGAATATGAACTTTATTCATCTTATATATTCCCCATTTACAACTGGTGTTTGGAGGAAATGTTTAACACACTTCTACTACAGTATGTCGTGTCCATTGTTTTGATGTATGGATTTATGGGTATTTGTCAGGCTGTGACTCTGGATCCCAACTTCCTGGATGCCTACATCAACTTGGGCAATGTTCTGAAAGAGGCTCGCATCTTTGACAGGTCAGTGACTGTTCCCATGGTATAACCAGTTAAACCTGAAGACACTCCCTCGTTCAGTCATTCATAATCCTAATTTCACCTGGTGAGTCTTAGGCTAATAATAGGGTCTGGCTTCCAAATGGCACCCTTATTCCCTATGTAGTGCACTACTTTTGACCAGGACCCATAGTGCTCCGGTCAGAAGTTGTGCACTATATAGGGTGCCATTTGGGACGTAGCCTAGGTATGACGCTCTGACCCTTTGTAATTACATTTGAAGAAAGTCAAACACACACAGAATAATCTATTTGAAAGTAGCCACAATAGTAGTAAGCGAACCCGATGGTTTCTGCTGCGAGTAGATCTTTGTCGAGCCTTGGTGCTGGTTTGTATGAGTAGTTCAGTATCTTGTCGGTAACTTGAAGCTCTCGACCTGCTCCACTGCAGCCCCGTCAATGTGGATTGGGGTGTGCTCGCCCCCCCCCCCCCCCCGTTTCCTTTAGTCCACGATCAGCTACGTTGTCTTACTGACGTTGAGGGAGAGGTTGTTCCGGCCCCACACTGCCAGGTCACTGACCTCCTCCCTGTAGGCTGTCTCATTGTCGCTGGTGATCAGGCCCTTCCACTGTCGTGTCCTCAGCGAACTTGATGTTTGAGTCGTGCGTGGCCACGCAGTCATGGGTGAAGAGTGAGTACAGGAGGGGACTAAGCACACACCATGAACAGCATTCTTACACAGGTATTCCTCTTATCTAGGTGGGTGAGGGCAGTGTTGAGTGCAATTGAGATTGCGTCATCTCTGCATTGGTTAGGGCGGTATGCAAATTGGAGTGGGTCTGGGATGATGGAGTTGACGTGTGCCATAACCAGGCTCTCAAAGCACCTCATGATTACAGATGTGAGTGCTACAGGGCGGTGGTCATTGTGGCAAGGAGCCTTAGAGTTCTTGGGAACAGGAATGATGGTGGTGATCTTAAAACATTTGGGGATTACAGACTGGAACAAGGAGAGGTTGAAAATTACCGTGAATATGCCTTCCTTTGTAATCTGTAATGGACTGTAGCCCTTGTCACATGGGGGAATCGGCGCCTGTGTAATATGATTCCACCTTATTCCTAGATTGTCCTTTTGTTTGTTTGATGACTGGAGGTCATAGCGGGACTTCTTGTTCTCAGCCGTAGCCTCATGCTGGTCTGCGATAGCCCTGTAGCCGTATCCTTTAGTTTAGCGCCAACCTCAGTGTTAATTCAGGGCTTTTGATTGATTTGAGGAAGCAGCGAACCTTAACTGTGGGGACAACGTCGCCCATGCATTTCCTAATGAAACCGGTGACTGAGGTGTTTCAGCTCGTTGACGTTATCGTTGGAGTCCCGAAACATATTCCAATCAGCACTAGCAAAGCAGTCCTGTAGCATCATCTGATTCTGGAGTCCATTTCTCAACGGACCGAGTCACAGGTAATTCCTGTTTTTGAGCTTCTGCTTGTAAACAGGAAGCAGGAGTATGGAGTCTTGATCTGATTTGCCGAATGGCGGACGAGGGAGGGCCTCGTATGCTTGCTTGTGGGTAGAATACCAATGGTCTAGGACTTTATGGCCCCTAGTGCCGAGGAAGACATGTTGATGGAAGTTGGATATCACGTGTCTTAATAACGCAGAATTAAAATGGCCGGCAACCAGAATAGCAGCCTCTGGATGTAAGTTTTCCTGCTTGGTTATAGCCTAGTACAGTTTTAAGTGCCTGCCTGTTATTTTTCCTGTCCTGAGGTGGAATGTATACAACCGTCACGATGACAACTGAAAACTCCCCCGGGAGGTAAAAGGGTCGGCATTTGGCCATGTATTCCAAGACTGGTGAACAATGGGTCAACACTTCCACCGTGCTCGAGTCAGCACACCAGTTGTTGATGAGGGGTGTGTGTGTGTGTGTATCTTGTCCGAGAGCCATGTTTCAAATGAGCAGAGAATATTGCAGGTTCAAGAGTCCCGTTGGTAGCAAATCTGCGACCGGAGGTCATCCATCTTATCAAGTGACTAGTAGAATTGAGGGAAGAGGTGGCTGGTTCTCCCGTCGCCTTAATCTCGCCAGTATCCCCCCTCTTGCCTCTAACGTCAGCGTTTCTTATTGGGTAGCCCGAAAATTGGATCGGAATTACATGGAGCCCAGGGCAGATGAGTCTCAGTTGAAGCGGAATTGAAGTAACTGCCGATCTGATGTTCAAAAGTTGTCAGTTACAGTGGGGGAAAAAATATTTAGTCAGCCACCAATTGTGCAAGTTCTCCCACTTAAAAATATGAGAGGCCTGTAATTTTCATCATAGGTACACGTCAACTATGACAGACAAATTGAGAGAGAAAAATCCAGAAATCACATTGTAGGATTTTTTATGAATTTATTTGCAAATTATGGTGGAAAATAAGTATTTGGTCACCTACAAACAAGCAAGATTTCTGGCTCTCACAGACCTGTAACTTCTTCTTTAAGAGGCTCCCCTGTCCTCCACTCGTTACCTGTATTAATGGCACCTGTTTGAACTTGTTATCAGTATAAAAGACACCTGTCCACAACCTCAAACAGTCACACTCCAAACTCCACTATGGCCAAGACCAAAGAGCTGTCAAAGGACACCAGAAACAAAATTGTAGACCTGCACCAGGCTGGGAAGACTGAATCTGCAATAGGTAAGCAGCTTGGTTTGAAGAAATCAACTGTGGGAGCAATTATTAGGAAATGGAAGACATACAAGACCACTGATAATCTCCCTCGATCTGGGGCTCCACGCAAGATCTCACCCCGTGGGGTCAAAATGATCACAAGAACGGTGAGCAAAAATCCCAGAACCACACGGGGGGACCTAGTGAATGACCTGCAGAGAGCTGGGACCAAAGTAACAAAGCCTACCATCAGTAACACACTATGCCGCCAGGGACTCAAATCCTGCAGTGCAAGACGTGTCCCCCTGCTTAAGCCAGTACATGTCCAGGCCCGTCTGAAGTTTGCTAGAGTGCATTTGGATGATCCAGAAGAGGATTGGGAGAATGTCATATGGTCAGATGAAACCAAAATATAACTTTTTTGGTAAAAACTCAACTCGTCGTGTTTGGAGGACAAAGAATGCTGAGTTGCATCCAAAGAACACCATACCTACTGTGAAGCATGGGGGTGGAAACATCATGCTTTGGGGCTGTTTTTCTGCAAAGGGACCAGGACGACTGAGTACCACTCTTTACTCTCTCCTACAGTAGCGCTAGTACCACTCTTTACTCTCTGTATCCATGCAGAGCGGTGGCTGGCTACCTCAATCCTCAGCCTTTAGTACTTATTATTATTATTATTATTATTATTACTAGTTTAACCACCCTTCTTTCTTCTTCCAACCATTCAGAGCAGTAGCTGGCTACCTGCGCGCCCTCAGCCTGAGCCCAAACCACGCCGTCGTCCACGGCAACCTGGCGTGCGTCTACTACGAGCAGGGCCTTATCGACCTGGCCATCGACACGTACCGCCGCGCCATCGAGCTGCAGCCCCACTTCCCCGACGCCTACTGTAACCTGGCCAACGCCCTCAAGGAGAAGGGCAATGTAAGGAAGAACACGGTGTGTGTGTCCCAGCAGTGAGACTGCTCCATTATTCTGCATCCCTACTGCCAGTGTGAGAGGCATGGCGGTCCCAGCAGGCTGCAGCAGTTGTTTGTCTGTGCCCCGTGCATGCCATGCCTGTAGTGCCAATTAAGGAGATGAGGGGGGGGGGTCTTCTCCACATATACAGAGAGGGGCTCAGACTGGGTGGGGTTAGATGGATGTGCATGACACACTGGTCTTCTAGATTCTGTTTCATGCTTGTGAGGCCACCCCTTTCAACACTACTCCAGACAAATATTATTTTGGGATGCGTAAGTGTCCCCTGTTCAGCTACAAACAGGGTTCCAGCTGTCAGTTAGCAGTGTTTGTGTAGCTGTTGTCTCTGTTGCGGTCTCCCTTTCGGTTAGCCCTCTCTGGGGCTTGGCGTCTGTCTGTCTGTACGAAAACGTGAGTGTGTGTCTGTCTGTATCTGTGAACGTGTGTCTGTTTCCCAGGTATCCGAGGCTGAGGAGTGTTACAACACGGCCCTGCGTCTGTGTCCCACCCACGCCGACTCTCTCAACAACCTGGCCAACATCAAGAGGGAGCAGGGTAACATCGAGGACGCCGTCCAGCTCTACAGGAAAGCCCTAGAGGTGAGATGGAGAACCACACCAAGAAGGACAACTATGGCAGAATGCTCATAGAAAGCGTTGAAAGTAGGATTGAAAAGTTGTTTCCGCAGGTCGCAAAAAGCTAAATTCAGCATGACACGAGCTGAATTAAATGTAAAAGGCTTTGAAAATAAAAAGCTTGGTATGTGCTCCATTGACATTTCACATCATGGGCTTGTTTTTGTGAGAAGAATTCGAAGAAGAACAGGAATTTCGCATTAATATGAAAAGCGTATACTAAAATATGGAAATACGTCTCAACATCATCTTGCCTCTATTTGTTGTGTCCTTTGGATTGGAGAAGACAGAAGACTAGTTCAACGGTGAGCTGTCAGGTAGCCTTCATTCTGCCTAGCTGATGCCATGCAATTTCCCAGATTTATTTTATGATTTTCTTACCACTTTTTCCTCTGGCCTTGATTTAGTCACCCTGATTCTGGCCTTGATTTAGTCACCCTGATTCTGGCCTTGATTTAGTCACCCTGATTCTGGCCTTGATGCTACAAGGGTGAAAACTCCAATCGCTATTCAACAGATTGTGATAGAGACATGAGGTTTGGACCATTAGTTTTCATAGAGGATTAGCTACACAGTTGACATACTTTTTTACATATTGGTCAAATGATGCGTTTGTGATTGGACACCCTATAACCTGTGTGGTTGGTGTTTTCCGTGGCCCACTCTGACCTGGCCAGTGTCCTGTTGTAATATGTATTCTAACCTGTGTGTTTTTTATGTTGTCTTCAGGTGTTTCCAGAGTTTGCAGCGGCCCACTCTAACCTGGCCAGTGTTCTGCAGCAGCAGGGGAAACTCCAGGAGGCCCTCATGCACTACAAGGAGGCCATCAGGTTAGCAGACTGACACCCCTCTCTCTCCGCTCCTCCCCCTGCCCCTCTCTCTCGCCCTCTCTCTCTCTCGCCCTCTCTCTCTCTCGCCTCTCTCTCGCCTCTCTCTCTCCCTCGCCCTCTCTCTCTCTCGCCCTCTCTCTCTCGCCCTCTCTCTCTCTCGCCCTCTCTCTCTCTCGCCCTCTCTCTCTCTCTCCCTCTCTCGCTCTCTCTCTCGCGCCTCTCTTCTCTCTGAATCAGTTGTGGTTTGACAATCCAGACACACTTTTTTAGGGATGGTGTTTTCAAGGAACTAAATCTAGTTGATAGATTTGCATCCTACTGAATTGTTTGTGTGTGTCTGTAGAATCAGCCCTACGTTTGCTGATGCCTACTCGAACATGGGCAACACTCTGAAGGAGATGCAGGATGTCCAGGGAGCGTTACAGTGCTACACCAGAGCCATCCAGATCAACCCTGCCTTTGCTGATGCTCACTCTAACCTGGCCTCCATACACAAGGTAACTTTCATCTGCCACGTCTGTCATAACCCCGAATCCTAGATCAGACCTACAGACGTGCAGTGAAGTCGATTGGCATTACTCCTCTTCTGTCACTGATATTCCGCAGGGCCAAATTCACCTATGGTCTGCAATTTATTTAATTCATGAAAATATTAAAATGCATGTATTTATAAAGGAAGTTGTCTTCATGATTCTATTAATATAATTATATTATTGTGTCCCCTCCCCTCAGGACTCTGGTAACATCCCAGAAGCCATTGCTTCTTACCGTACAGCCCTGAAACTGAAGCCTGACTTCCCTGATGCCTACTGCAACCTGGCACACTGCCTGCAGGTACACACACACTGCTGAACACACACACTAGTCTCCCGTGTCAAGTTACTGCAGATAAACTTGAGGCCAAATCCTGATTTGAGACTCAGCTGTAACTGGAGTATAAATCATGTATTGATGTGAGACATTGCGAGAGAGAGAACACAAGTAAGGCCGAAGAGTTACTGCGCTTGGATTACATTTCTGTGATTACGCTTCAGACTGCCTCGCAAACTTCTCTTCCACAAACACACTCACAACTGTCTCTTCTCGCCGCTCTCCCCAGATTGTGTGTGACTGGACGGACTATGATGAGCGTATGAAGAAGCTGGTGAGCATCGTGGCTGACCAGTTGGATAAGAACCGTCTGCCCTCGGTGCACCCCCACCACAGCATGTTATACCCGCTCTCTCACGGCTTCCGCAAGGCCATCGCTGAGAGGCACGGCAACCTCTGTCTGGACAAGGTACAGGCCCTCATCAAAGCAAGTACAGTATTGACCTTTTATTCAGGTGAAGGTTGGGCTGGGATGCTTGCATGGTGAAGGGTAAACGGTAAGGTGGGATGGCTTGAAGTTACTCGTCTGGTACATTTTAAGGAAGCTTATTAGGCCCGTAGTCTTTTATTTAGTTAAAAATAATCTGTAAAAAGCAGCCTTAGATGGGGTGGTTGGGTTGCTTGCAGGGTAAAGAGGTTGGTTGGCTCATAGATGGGTTAGTTAAGTCTATGGGTTTGGGTGGTTAGTTAGGACAGGTTCAGGCTAGTTGTAACTGTGTTATGGACGAGGGATCTGGTTTTAATCTGCCTTGTCTAGTTGGACCACCTGAAAGGAGCTAGGTTTATAGTCATTATCTGACAGGCTATGATGTTCCAATGTCCATACTAGTGATCATTCTAAGTAGGATGCTAGTGTAGATTTTGGATGAGAGCCTTGGGCTGTGTCTCACATGGCACCCTTTTCATTACATAGAGCACTACTTTTAGATAAAAGTAGTGCACTATATAGGGAATAGGGTGACATTTTGAACACAGCCTAGTTTATAAGCTGTGATATAGTCTAATGTCCCCCCCCCCCCCCCCCCCCCCCCCGGTACCACCACAGATCAATGCGCTCCACAAGCCGGCCTTTGAGTACCCCAAGGACCTGAAGGCCAGTGCGGGTCGTCTGAGGGTGGGATATGTCAGCTCTGACTTCGGGAACCACCCCACCTCCCACCTCATGCAGTCCATCCCCGGCATGCACAACTCTGAGCAGTTTGAGGTGAGGGTTTCCTTCTGTTGTGACTCATTACCACTACAGATGATATCAGACAGACTGGCAACAACCAATGATTTAGAATGAACTGATGTGTTTGCATACCTGGATTTGATTGGCATTTGAACAAATGTTATTCTCAATGTGACTTAACTAAATAAATAATGGATAAATTAAATTGAGGTGTTATAGTGACCAAACAGTATATTTACATTTTTTTTTAAAAAAAATCAAATCAAAAAGCCATACTGGCCGTGCAGCTGTTCTAACAGTTGGTTGTAACATGTCTGGTGGTTGTTCTAACAGTTGGTTGTAACATGTCTGGTGGTTGTTCTAACAGTTGGTTGTAACATGTCTGGTGGTTGTTCTAACAGTTGGTTGTAACATGTCTGGTGGTTGTTCTAACAGTTGGTTGTAACATGTCTGGTGGTTGTTCTAACAGTTGGTGGTAACATGTCTGGTGGTTGTTCTAACAGTTGGTTGTAACATGTCTGGTGGTTGTTCTAACAGTTGGTTGTAACATGTCTGGTGGTTGTTCTAACAGTTGGTTGTAACATGTCTGGTGGGTTGTTCTAACAGTTGGTTGTAACATGTCTGGTGGTTGTTTCTAAACAGTTTGGTTTGTAACATGTCTGGTGGTTGTTCTAACAGTTGGTTGTAACATGTCCTGGTGGTTGTTCTAACAGTTGGTGGTACATGTCTGGTGGTTGTTCTAACAGTTGGTTGTAACATGTCTGGTGGGTTGTTCTAACAGTTGGTTGTAACATGTCTGGTGGTTGTTCTAACAGTTGGTTGTAACATGTCTGGTGGTTGTTCTAACAGTTGGTGGTAACATGTCTGGTGGTTCCTCTCCCCAGGTGTTCTGCTATGCCCTGAGCCCAGATGACAACACCAACTTCAGGGTAAAGGTGGTGGCCGAGGCCCATCACTTCACTGACCTGTCACAGGTGAGTTAACGCAGATAGACAACTCCATGTAAGTACTTTTAGTAGTAGTTTCCCTTTCTCTCTCTGTACTGTAGAGCCACATTCAGCACTTAAGAGTACTTCCTCTCCCTCCATCTCCACTCCTCCTGTCTCTCTCCTCTGTCAGCTCCCGTGTAACGGTAAGGCAGCAGACAGGATCCATCAGGATGGACTCCACATCCTGGTCAATATGAACGGCTACACCAAAGGAGCCCGCAACGAGCTGTTTGCCCTGCGCCCCGCTCCCATCCAGGTGAGATAAATTAGGCTTTATTTGGCCATGTTAGTTTCTATAAATTTTACCTCCCTGAGAAAATTGACGTTTGGCATCCGAAGGTTTGTATCCAGAGAGACAGGACTGATAGTGACTGGCCACTGGTTTGTCAAGAATAACTGGTTTGTCATAGTCAGTGCTAAGTGAAACTTCTGTGTCCCCTCTTTAATGGCTGGGGTACAGGGGCACGGGTGTGGTGCTGCTGGAGAGGCGCTCCCTCACCTTTTTAAAATTTTGAGCATACATGACGCTGGTAAAAAATATTTCAGAAAAATTATATTAAATGACCACAAATTCCATGACAATTATAGAATGACAAATTCAATAAATATGTAGGCTATAGCAGCCTATAGGTAGGGAAATGGTGGTTTATTCTGTCTGTCTGTCTGGCGGTGGCGAGTGATTTTTTTAAATTTTAGGCGTGTGTGCAGAGGCGCGTCGGTCGGAGGCTTGACCACTTTGAGCGGGTCAAATCTGACCTGACAAGAACAGCCACAGACAGAACTCTACTAAAACGGTTGTCCTCAAAACAGTTTCACTTGGGGCTCATGTACGACACACTTTAACGCTCCCTGCTGTCCGAGTGCTTAGCTTACAAAAACGCAACACTTCTATTGCGTATGCAGACGAACTGATCCACTGCATGAATCTTGTCATCCCACCAACGCGATATAGGATCCAAATTCACTGCGTGTCTGCATTGATGTTCATAAAACACCACGGACCCCCCCCCCCCCCCCCCTGCGTTGGAACCCAGAACGATATGTGACCACTTGGTTACGGTGTTGTCCTTTCAGCACCACGATTCGAAGGGCGCTCAAATCGCTACAAATAACCCTAGTCAGGATTTACCTACGCCTAATATTCCTCCTTATCACTTATTATAGCCCAACCGATATGGATTTTTTGGGTCTGATACAGATTCCGATTTTTTTTGGGGGGGGGCAATTTACCGATACGATACAGTGCCTTAGGGAAAGTATACCCCTTGACTCTTTCCACATTTTATTACGTTAGACTCATTTTTTTTTATTAAATTTTTTTTGTGCAATATACACACACAATACCCCATAATGACAGTGGAAACAGTTTTTCAGAAATTTTTGCACGTGTATTTAAAAACAAGTATTCACTCCCTTTGCTATGAGACTTGAAATTGAGTTCCGGTGTATCCTATTTCCATTGATCATCCTTGATCTTTCTACAACTTGATTGGAGTCCACCTGTGGTAAATTCAATTGATTGGACATGATTTGTAAAGGCACACACCTGTCTATATAAGGTCCTACAGTTGACAGTGCATGTCAGAGCAAGAACCAAGCCAAGGGGTCGAAGGGATTGTCCGTAGAACTCCGAGACAGGATTGTGGCCAAGGTTCTCTGGTCTGACGAAACCAAGATTGAACTCTTTGGCCTGGATGCCAAGCGTCACGTCTGGAGGAAACCTGGCACCGTCCCTACGGTGAAGCTTGGTGGTGGCAGCATCATGCTGTGGGGATGTTTTTCAGCAGCAGGGACTGGGAGACTAGTCAGGATCAAGATGAACGGAGCAAAGTACAGAGATCCTTAACTTGCTCCAGAGCGCTCAGGACCTCAACCCTAAGCACACAGCCAATACAATGCAGGAGTGGATTCGGAACAAGTCTCTGAATGTCCTTGAGTGGCCCAGCCAGAGTCCAGACTTGAAACCAATCGAACATCTCTGGAGAGAGCTGAAAATAGCTATGCAGCAACGCTCCCCATCCAACCTGACAGAGCTTGAGAGGATCTGCAGAGAAGAATGGAAGAAACTCTCCAATGCAGGTGTGCCAAGCTTGTAGCGTCATACCCAAGACTTGATGCTGTAATCGCTGCCAAAGGTGCTTCAAAGTACTAAGTAAAGGGTCTGAATACTTATGTAACTGTAATATTTCAGTTTCTTATTTTTAATAAATTAGCAACACATTCTAAACCTGTTTTTGCGTTGTCATTATGGGGTGTTGTGTGTAGATTGAGGGGGGACATACATTTTTTTTTAAATAATTTTAGAATGAGGTTGTAACGTAAGAAAATTTGGAAAAAGTCAAAGGGTCTGAATACTTTTTTTTTTTTATATTTTACAGCGAGGAAATGGAAAAGTGACATTTTTCCACACGGTTCTCATAAATTACCATCCAAATTCCCAATTGTCAAAAACACGCTTCAAATGTTGAAATCTTACAATGTGACAATTTTAATTCATCTGTTATCGGTGGAATTATCCTTCGGTAAAAGGCCAATATCAGCTGCCGATAATATATCAGTTGGGCTCTGCTTTATGATGATTATTATTAGAAATAGAAGATTGTCACTTCTCACGAACTGTGCTTGTTTAGTAGGCCTAAAGTTAGATCAAAGCTGAATCAATGTCTCGCAAGATCGCATAATGATTCATTTGTATCTTACATAGCCTAACAGAACCGAAATAAAGTCACTGTAGCATATTAGGCCTATAATGTTACACCATAAACACCTGTCATTTCTTATCCGAAGCTGAATAGTCAAAAAAATATATATAATCCTCATGCAGCCAAAACTCAATAGCGTGCGCCACTGACAGAACAGTGAATTAGATGTTTCGCTGGATGTTTCAATCTGAAGCGTCTGCTTGGCATTTCCACTCACCACCAAATATGTTAATGAGGAAGCCCAGTGGGAAAAGATGATTTTTGACCTACATTCTGCCAAAAAAATTTTTGTTGATTTTCTCAATATATTTCTGTTTCCAAAACGAGAATCTTTAACAGAGTGGAGAGTAAGTTTTGTAACGTTTACCCTTTTTGCTAATGTTTTGTACACCGTGTGCCTTGAAACAAAAATATGCTTACAAGAAAGTCTAATAGTTTAACACCATCTGCTTTAATTTGCTCACGAAACAACAGTAATTCAAAAAGATTTAACTGCATATTCCCATGAACGTGGTTGAGATCAAATGATTGGCAGGCATGCAGTTAAAATGTGAAGAATTATCATCCACGATTGACTGTGATGGCATATTTGGAAATTAGGTATGCCTAACTTGGTGTTTTTGAGGGTATTAAAAATATAAAATGTTCTTGAGACGATATGTTTGGTCATAGGCCTATTCTACAGTGATATTCAATAGGCTACATCTGTCGGTACAAACTTTGAGAAATTATGACGTCATAAATAGTGTGTGTGCTCCCTCACCTAAACCACTGCCGGGTGTAATTTAATGTCCAAATAAAGTTCACACTGCCGACTTATCTCTCCTGCTCAGTGTATGTGGTTGGGCTACCCGGGAACCAGCGGAGCTCCCTTCATGGACTACATCGTGTCAGACAAGGAGACGTCCCCCATCGAGGTGGCGGAGCAGTACTCTGAGAAACTAGCCTACATGCCACACACCTTCTTCATTGGAGACCACGCGAACATGTTCCCCCACCTCAAGGTGAGATTCCTGTTTATCCAGTAAACAAAAGTTTGTTGACGTGTGGCATGATTGAACCATATTATGCAGTGATTGGTTGAAATTGCAAGCCCTTTTCTTGTTCTGCGGTAATGGGTCAGTTTTTTGCGATTTGAATGTTTTGTGCGAAAAATCTAACACCACCATACAAATCCATCATTTTTTAAACTAGAGATCTGTTTTTTTAAATTGGATGCGTCTCAATCCACCGCATCCACCTATGTCTCACTACCGCGTCTGTGATGGAAGGTGACAGAGCTAGAGCGGTGTTTGTCAGACCATGAGACATCCCAAAAATCGGTCTTCTCACAAAATCGTCTGTAGCATCCGAACAGTCTGGGCTGCACACTAATATGACCCCTTTGTGGTGAAACTCTTACGAACGCATACATGTCTGTTGTTTTGCTCTAGGACGCCCAAGGGCCTCACAAGACTCGTCTGAAGGTCCCCCGGTACCAGTTGAAAGAATGAATGGAATTATATATGGAGAATGTTTAGTGCCAAAAATAAGGGGTTAAATACATGTAAAAACTAAAACAAATGTTCTATTCCATGTAGGGAATCTGTTATTCAATGAGCTTGTATGGATTAATGGCAGTAAGGCCAAATACATTATTTAAAAAATATATATATATATTTGATGCTTCAATGGGTGTTAAAATTCTAAATCAAATGGCGAATCGATCTTTGGTATGACTTTCTTAAAACAATTCCATATAGCATAGTAGAACCCCCTCCCTCGGCTGAGACTGTTTAGTGTCTCCAAATAAGAGGTAAAAAAAAAGTTTCCTGATCTTATCTCTCAGATATAGGACACACTTCAGAACAAACTTCCTTTAGATTTTTTTTGGGGGGGACTATCGGTTTAGCTCCCCCTTGTGTGCTATGCCGGGAATATTGTAAATCCTGGGCTGAGAGAGGGTCGGAATAAAAATCTGGATACTGCCCATCCTAGCTGCTATTTGTATAGAAAGCAGTTCTCCAGAAACTCCTATACTACCTCACCTCACTTCTTGATTGGAAATCCAGACACACTCGCTCTCAAGACTTGCTGGTTCTAGAGGTTTCTCTGGTCTCCACAGAGTCCAGGAAGATTGCCTTTAGTTATTGTGACCCTAGCGCATGGAATGACCTGCAGGCCACTTTGAGGCTTGACTCTGGTCTCAGTCAGTTTGGGACTTTAGATGAGGAACGTGGCGAAGGAGAACTGCACTTGTTTTTATGTGAAATATCTCTTTTGAATTAGATTTGTTGAAATGTGAAAGTGTAAATTGATAGCTTGTTGAGACTGATTATGTTGATTAATTGTTCCCAGGGCACCCTTGTAAATGAGATTATGGTCTCAATGGGTTTCCCCTGGTAAAAAAAAATAAATAAACTGACATTGATCTGAAAGAAAAATGACAAGCTTTGATGAATGCTTTTTAGATCTACGACTCTGACTTGGTTTCCTGGAACGACACTTGACATACAGTTCACCTCTTCACCTCGGTAATCTTGTTTTATTTTCTTCAACAGAAAAAGGCGGTGATTGACTTCAAGTCCAACGGCCACATCTTTGACAACCGCATCGTTCTGAATGGCATCGACCTCAAGGCCTTCCTGGACAGCCTGCCTGACGTTAAGGTGGTCAAGGTGAGTCAGTGAAATGGTGAATAGCCCTAACCCTTCCTGGACAGCCTGCCTGAGGTCAAGGTGAGACATGGGGAATATTCGGTGACCATATTTCCATTTGACTAGGACCATCAACTATTGGAAAGGTACCCCCATTGTCTATTCCTTTTATTTTTTTATTTTTTTCGAATTTTTTAAACTCCTTTATCCTCCTGAAAATAAGATGCAAATGCTTTGTAAATCACTCCTTCCTTCCCTTTTTGTCTCCTTCTCTCCAGATGAAGTGTGCCAGTGGGGACAGTGGAGTAGCAGAAACCAACGGGGCTCTGTCCATGCCTGTCATCCCCATGAACACAGCAGCTGAGGCCATCATCAACATGATCAACCAGGGACAGATTCAGGTCACCATCAACGGATTCACCGTCAGCAATGGACTGGCCACCACACAGGTACTGGAGGGGGACACACTGAGGAAATGGATAAGAATGAATACCAGGTTGTTATTTTGCTGGTTGAATGAAGCAGGGAGGTACCTGTATGGTTGACCTTTGATCCCAGCCATGTGACATAATGAAGCAGGGAGGTACCTGTATGGTTGACCTTTGATCCCAGCCATGTGCCATAATGAAGCAGGGAGGTACCTGTATGGCTGACCTTTGATCCCAGCCATGTGACATAATGAAGCAGGGAGGTACCTGTATGGCTGACCTTTGATCCCAGCCATGTGACATAATGAAGCAGGGAGGTACCTGTATGGCTGACCTTTGATCCCAGCCATGTGACATAATGAAGCAGGGAGGTACCTGTATGGCTGACTTTTGATCCCAGCCATGTGACATGAATGACTACAGTCTGTAGTGTTCCATCTCCATGTTTACTGTGTTTTCAGATACTTCCAGTGGAGGAGGTTGTAGTGTCAGGGGTTGTAACCCTCCAGGTATGGGGCACACAGACTGGCTAGTACTGGAGAAACACATTGGGTCACTTGCATGTCTACTTTTGGGATTTGACACCTGGGAAAATGGTTCCAGTACTGTAGTCTGTTTTTGCAGCTCTGAGACAGAACAAGGGTGTATGGGAAATGTTTTCACTATGAACTGGCCTCTCCTCTGCCCCCCCTCTCTCTCCTCCTTTCTCTCTCTCTCTGGTCATAATAAATATCTCCATCATAACCACCACCTTGTCCTCCCATCTCAGATCAACAACAAGGCAGCTACAGGAGAGGAGGTTCCTCGTACCATCGTCGTGACAACCCGCTCCCAGTACGGCCTGCCTGAAGACTCCATAGTCTACTGCAACTTCAACCAGCTCTACAAGATCGACCCCCCCACCCTGCAGATGTGGGCCAATGTAAGCCTCAAGCTAGAAAACACTTTCTCAATGCTCCATGATCCTGTTGTCTGAGAAGATGTGTATGTTTCTTCAGGAATTCCTCTCTTCCCTGACTCACAGGGTGAAATGGCACCCTAGTCCCTATGTGATAGTGCACTAGCTTTTGACCAGGCCCTATGCTCTGGTCAAAAGTAGTGCACTATATAGGGAATATGGGCCTTGGTCAACAGTAGTGCTGTTTCAGACACACAAGCACCTCTTACCTTACGGATCTCCTCTCCTGTAGATCCTGAAGCGTGTTCCCAACAGTGTTCTGTGGTTGCTGCGTTTCCCTGCGGTGGGCGAGCCCAACATCCAGCAGTACGCCCAGAACTTCGGCCTGCCCGCCTCCCGCATCATCTTCTCTCCCGTGGCGCCCAAGGAGGAGCACGTGAGACGGGGCCAGCTGGCTGACGTGTGTCTGGACACGCCACTCTGTAACGGACACACCACTGGCATGGATGTCCTCTGGGCCGGGACACCCATGGTTACCATGCCAGGTGAAACAGAGACCTTTCCTCCTAAAGTGTGCACTCGTTCACTATTCTCCACAAATCAAAAAAGTGTTGGATTGGTGTTGACGTGGGCTAGAGGAATTTCTATATCCCAGTCATTTCCTTTCGAACCTGGGAAGGGAACAAATGCACACTATGGAGAAAGGCGAGATAATTGGGATGCACTGTTCTGTAGTAAGTGGCGTGTGAACGACAGGTCGGTCTTTAAATGTCATGTGTGCCCGTACAGGTGAGACCCTGGCGTCACGCGTGGCAGCCTCTCAGCTGCAGTGTCTGGGCTGTCCTGAGCTCATCGCCCACACCAGACAGGAGTATGAGGACGTGGCCGTCAAACTGGGCTCTGACATGGAATAGTAAGAAGCTCCTGAGTAACACACATACTCCAGCTAGCTCTGTCTGTCTGGCTGTGTGTCTGTCTCTCTCTCGCTCTGTGTCTGTCTCTCTCTCGCTCTGTGTGTCTGTCTCTCTCTCGCTCTGTGTGTCTCGCTCTGTGTGTCTCGCTCTGTGTGTCTCTCTTCTCACCATTGCTGTAACTGACCCCCTCTCCTCTCCCCAGTCTGAAGATGACCCGGTCCCGTGTGTGGAAGCAGCGTATCTGCAGCCCTCTGTTCAACACCAAGCAGTACACTATGGATCTGGAGAAGCTCTACCTGCAGATGTGGGAGCGCCACGCCAGCGGAGGCAAGCCAGACCACCTGGTCAATCTGCAGCCCATCGAGAGCAGCGAGAGCGTCTGAAGTCCCAGACCCAGGGTGGGTCCCAAATGGCACCCGATTCCCTATTTGGAACTCTGACCCCCATTCGCCCCTAACCCACCACTCTGCCCCTCCTGTCCAAAGCCTAGCGCCTATCTGCTCCCCTTCAACCCTGCTTCCCTCCCCTGTGACTTGGACTCTTGTCTGTTGTAGAGCCTGCAGGTGTGTCCCCCTCCCTCCTTCACTCTAGTCATCATATCCCATCTATCTGTTTCCCTGAGCCAGGCTGAGCCAGAACCACTCTGCTCTTCACCTGAGACTCTTTCCCCAAACCACAGCATCCACACTGGATATGAGAGGAGGAACACCCCCTCTCCCGCCATCAGCGCCTGGAAGTGACTCCCCATGGCTTTTTCTCTTCTCTCTCTCTCTCTCTCTCTCTGTGTGTGTGTATGGGACTCGTTAGGGCTTTGAGGTTTGAGAGCCAGTCCCAAACCTCCATGCAGCAGTTTGATCTCCATGTAATAATTGAATCTGGAATAAGAGGTTGATGTAAGAGTATATAAAGGGACTGTTGCACCACAGTCTGAACATCTAGTGATTTAACTCTTGTCTTGAACTAAAAACATTTGAATCCGCTTAAAGTTGTCTTTAGTTTGCAGCTGCTCTTGGTTTTTCTCTTCTGTTATGCTATTGGTAACTGCCAGGATAAGAGTAGATAGATTCATTATCAGATTTCGGAGAGAAACATCATAACCACTCCCTTCCCCCACCACCAAATGCCAACTTAAGGATTTTGTCAATGTAAGAAAACCAAACTCAATGGCTTTGTTTGATGTCACGCACTATGCTTGTTAAGACCAGGACCGTATGGATAAACTGAACAGACAGGAGTTTGTCAGTACTACCCATTGGAAAAGCCCTGTATTTCTGTCACCCTTAATTATACCCTCCCCTCTCCCCAAGTAATGATTGATTATCACTCAAACCAGGAATGGCCTAGGTAAGTATTTTAGAAGCAGTTTTTGTTTTGTACTCGTCTTTGTTTTATTGATGCTCAGTCTGGTATGCTGCAAGGCTCTGACTCCATTCATGTTGAAATAAAGAAATACGGCAAACCTCTTGGAATGTGTTGATCATTTTGCTGATTTAATCAGGGTAGTGTTGGAGCACGTTCACCCACATTGCTTCCACCTTACAGATCTGTTTTATTTAATCAGGGTAGTGTTGGAACACGTTCACCCACATTGCTTCCACCTTACAGATCTGTTTTATTTAATCAGGGTAGTGTTGGAACACGTTCACCCACATTGCTTCCACCTTACAGATCTGTTTTATTTAATCAGGGTAGTGTTGGAGCACGTTCACCCACATTGCTTCCACCTTACAAGTTTTCTTAATTTGGTATAACAATTTTTTTTAACAATGAATTTTCAAAACTGTACACAAGACATGGAACTGGCATTTTTCAAAGTGGTAAATAGATTTTCTAAATGTAACAGCCTGTAGTAGTTTTGCAATTACAAAACACAGCAAATACATTAAATCAAAAATAAGCTGCCTGCTAAACAAACTATAAATACACGGACACCCCTTCAAATTAGTGGACTTGACTCTTTCTGCCACACCCGTTGCTGACATAAAATCGAGCACAACCATGCAATCTCCATAGACAAACATTGGCAGTAGAATAGCCTTACTGAAGAGCTCAGTGACTTTCAACGCGCCACTGTTCTAGGATGTCACCTTCCCAACAAGTCCGTTCGTCAAATTTCTGCCCTGCTAGAGCTGCCCCGGTCAACTGTAAGTGCTGTTATGTGAAGTGGAAATGTCTAGGATCAACAACTGCTCAGCCGTGACGTGGTAGGCCACACAAGCTCACAGAACAAGACCGCTGAGTGCTATAGCGTGTAAAAAATATTTGGCGGATGCCAGGTGGACACTACCTGCCCCAATGCATAGTGCCAACTGTAAAGTTTGGAGGAGGAATAATGGTCTGGGGTTTTTCATGGTTTGGGCTAGGCCCCTTAGTTCCAGTGAAGGAAAATCTTAACGCTACAACATACAATGACATTCTAGATGATTCTGTGCTTGCAAGTTTGGGGAATGCCCTTTCCTATTTCAGCATGACAATCATTTTACATTTACATTTTAGTCATTTAGCAGACGCTCTTATCCAGAGCGACTTACAGTTAGTGAATACATTTTATTTAATTTTTTTTATACTGGCCCCCCGTGGGAAGCGAACCCACAACCCTGGCGTTGCAAACGCCATGCTCTATCAACTGAGCTACATCCCTGCCGGCCATTCCCTCCCCTACCCTGGACGACGCTGGGCCAATTGTGCGCCGCCCATGAGTCTCCCGGTCGCGGCCGGCTGCGACAGAGCCTGGATTCGAACCAGGATCTCTAGTGGCACAGTTAGCACTGCGAAGCAGTGCCTTAGACCACTGCGCTACTCAGGAGACAATGCCCCCGTGCACAAGGCGAGGTCCATACAGAAATGGTTTGTCTAGATCTGTGTGGAAGAACTTGACTGTCCTGCACAGAGCCCTGACCTCAACCCCATCGAACACCTTTGGGATCAATTGGAACGCCAACTGCGAGCCAGGCCTAATCGCCCAACATCAGTGCCCAACCTCACTACTGCTCATGGCTGAATGGAGGCAAGTCCCCGCAGCAATGTTCCAACATCTAGTGGAAAGCCTTCCCAGAACAGTGGAGCAAAGGGGAGACCAACTCCATATTAATGCCGATGATTTTGGAATAAGATGTTCAATGACCAGGTGTCCACATACTTTGTCATGTAGTGCATGTCTGCTCATTCAAGTGAGCTAGTGTATTTAGACACGCCGTGGTATTATGTTGAATGATTTCATGGTTTAAGGCCTTCCTCTACAGCAGTGGTGATTTTAGCATGTAAATCTTGGTGCAAAACAAAAAAGTGGGATGCATGCCAGCAAAGCCACTAAACAATACATTAATTGCACTATAACGGTGACAATCTGTCCCAACATCTTACCACTGCTACACCTGGCTATCAGCGGAGCCTTGTCTGGCAGAGGAACAGTTCACTCAGCCTCATTTACTGCCTTTAAAAAAAACATGGCTGACTTGCTTAAACAAATGTGGTTTCTATTGACAATTGAGATGTACAAACTATGGCCTAAGGCAGGGTTCTTCAATTCCGGTCCTGGAGGGCCGAAACACCTCTGTTTTTCATCCTCTCCATCTAATCAGGGGCTAATTCAGACCTGGGACACCAGGTGAGTGCAATTAACTACCCGGTAGAAATAAAAAACAGAACTGTCTCGGCCCTCCAGGACCGGAATTGAAGAACCCTAGCCTAAGGGGATGATGAGCGGATAAGAGGCAATCGGTAATTTCGATTAAGACATTAATGAGCGAGCTAGGACAGACATAGTCAATATAACTATTTGTTTAGCACTTTTGAAATGTACAGCGACAGAATTCAGAACATGGGCCGTTCTTAGTGTTCACCCTGTACACCAAGTCAGAACAGTAGGATAACGAAATTTGATTATTACATTTCTCTAAAACAGGTTATAGGCTACATGTGCACCACCAAGTCAGAACAGTTGGGGAAATTAAGAGGGTGAGGCACATGAAATATTTACAAATTAAATGTGCTGAAATGAAAGCAACCTCCCAAAATCAACACTCAGTGATATGTCTGATCAGTTTTTTTCTTAGAATGCACTCATACATCTTCTAAAGGTATTTTTGTTATATTTTGTGTTCAAAATAAAGGAATTTATACAGTTTATTCAGAAAATATTCAGACCCCTTGACTTTTTCTACATTTTGTTACATTTACAGCCTTATTCTAAAATGGATTAAATTAAATGTTTTCCTAATCAACCTACACACAATACCCCATAATGACAAAGTGAAAACAGGTTTTTAGGAATCTTTGCAAATGTATTAAATATAAAAAACATACCTTATTTACTTAAGTATTCAGACCCTTTGCTATGAGACTCGAAATTGAGCTCCAGTGCATCCTGTTTCTATTGATCATTCTTGAGATGTTTCTACAACTTGATTGGAGTCCACCTGTGGTAAATTCAATTGCTTGGACATGATTTGGATAGGCACACACCTGTCTATATAAGGTCCCACAGTTGCCAGTAATTGTCAGAGCAAAAACCAAGCCATGAGGCGAAGGAATTGTCTGTAGAGCTCCGAGACAGGATGTGTTGAGGCACAGATCTGGGGAAGGGTACCAAAACATTTCTGCAGCATTGAAGGTTCCAAAGAACACAGTGCTACGTCATCCAATTGTGTACCATTTCATCAATTTCGGGTGATATGTTATGAATTTTTTGTGCTTAAGATCCTGGAGGGCATCTTTAAGTGAAACAGTACATTGTGTGCACTACTTCATCATGCACTGATTTTTATCTGCAACAAGTCCGTTTGCTGGAAACACTGGTGGGAAAATGCGCATATTTTCTTTATGCAGATTTTAAAATATTTGCTTCGAAACCTACCTAATGTCATTTACATTTGGTGGCAGTGGTGCTGCCCCTCTCACTGTGCTTCACACAGTCACAGTGATTCTGCATGTGGCGCCGCACCTCTTCCCCCTCTTTCTGGAACAAGGGATAGAGACAGATAGATATATATAGCAGGCGATTCAGTCAACTGAGCAATACCTAAATAGGCAAATTTTTATAACCCACATTGTCAAAGAAAAGTTTAAAATTAAACCACGCGGCAGAATACAACAAAGTTTATGGTAAATGCTTCACACAAAAGGGGAAATCTACAATTCAAACAATAACAATGTGGCACGCTGTCCGTTTCTCCCGAGTGGCGCAAGGCACTGCATCGCAGTGCTAGCTGTGCCACTAGAGATCCTGGTTCGAATCCAGACTCTGTCGTAGCCGGCCGCGACCGGGAGACCCATGGGGCGGCGCACAATTAGCCGGCGTCGTCCAGGGTAGGGGAGGGAATGGCCGGCAGGGATGTACAGTGGGGAAAAAAAGTATTTAGTCAGCCACCAATTGTGCAAGTTCTCCCACTTAAAAAGATGAGAGAGGCCTGTAATTTTCATCATAGGAACACGTCAACTATGACAGACAAAATGAGAAAAAAAATCCAGAAAATCACATTGTAGGATTTTTAATGAATTTATTTGCAAATTATGGTGGAAAATAAGTATTTGGTCACCTACAAACAAGCAAGATTTCTGGCTCTCACAGACCTGTAACTTCTTTAAGAGGCTCCTCTGTCCTCCACTCGTTACCTGTATTAATGGCACCTGTTTGAACTTGTTATCAGTATAAAAGACACCTGTCCACAACCTCAAACAGTCACACTCCAAACTCCACTATGGCCAAGACCAAAGAGCTGTCAAAGGACACCAGAAACAAAATTGTAGACCTGCACCAGGCTGGGAAGACTGAATCTGCAATAGGTAAGCAGCTTGGTTTGAAGAAATCAACTGTGGGAGCAATTATTAGGAAATGGAAGACATACAAGACCACTGATAATCTCCCTCGATCTGGGGCTCCACGCAAGATCTCACCCCGTGGGGTCAAAATGATCACAAGAACGGTGAGCAAAAATCCCAGAACCACACGGGGGGACCTAGTGAATGACCTGCAGAGAGCTGGGACCAAAGTAACAAAGCCTACCATCAGTAACACACTATGCCGCCAGGGACTCAAATCCTGCAGTGCCAGACGTGTCCCCCTGCTTAAGCCAGTACATGTCCAGGCCCGTCTGAAGTTTGCTAGAGTGCATTTGGATGATCCAGAAGAGGATTGGGAGAATGTCATATGGTCAGATGAAACCAAAATAGAACTTTTTGGTAAAAACTCAACTCGTCGTGTTTGGAGGACAAAGAATGCTGAGTTGCATCCAAAGAACACCATACCTACTGTGAAGCATGGGGGTGGAAACATCATGCTTTGGGGCTGTTTTTCTGCAAAGGGACCAGGACGACTGATCCGTGTAAAGGAAAGAATGAATGGGGCCATGTATCGTGAGATTTTGAGTGAAAACCTCCTTCCATCAGCAAGGGCATTGAAGATGAAACGTGGCTGGGTCTTTCAGCATGACAATGATCCCAAACACACCGCCCGGGCAACGAATGAGTGGCTTCGTAAGAAGCATTTCAAGGTCCTGGAGTGGCCTAGCCAGTCTCCAGATCTCAACCCCATAGAAAATCTTTGGAGGGAGTTGAAAGTCCGTGTTGCCCAGCGACAGCCCCAAAACATCACTGCTCTAGAGGAGATCTGCATGGAGGAATGGGCCAAAATACCAGCAACAGTGTGTGAAAACCTTGTGAAGACTTACAGAAAACGTTTGACCTGTGTCATTGCCAACAAAGGGTATATAACAAAGTATTGAAACTTTTGTTATTGACCAAATACTTATTTTCCACCATAATTTGCAAATAAATTCATAAAAAATCCTACAATGTGATTTTCTGGATTTTTTTCCCTCATTTTGTCTGTCATAGTTGACGTGTACCTATGAGGAAAATTACAGGCCTCTCTCATCTTTTTAAGTGGGAGAACTTGCACAATTGGTGGCTGACTAAATACTTTTTTCCCCCCACTGTAGCTCAGTTGGTAGAGCATGGCGTTTGCAACGCCAGGGTTGTGGGTTCGATTCCCACGGGGGGCCAGTATGAAAACGTATGCACTCACTTAACTGTAAGTCGTTCTGGATAAGAGCGTCTACTAAAATGTAATGTAAAATGTTTTGGTGAAAAGCTGAGACACTGGAGAAATGTAACCACTCAAATTCAGACAGTGACTGAACATCCATGATATCCACGTTAAGAATTTTAGTTCTAAGCTCATTACTGAGGCATTTATAAGCTATATTCTACAAGAATCTATGGGTAGACATTCATTTAAAAATTCAAAATAAAGACATAGCAATAGCAGATTGCCCCATTAACAGTGATTTTGCCACCTTAGTGTACCTGTGTATCGTCTGTCTGTCCGTGGGTGTGTCTAACCTACCATGTCATCATCCTCATAGCCAGCAGTCTCTCAGTGTTGGTAGAGCTGTTGTATGGAAGACCGGTGGATCAGTGATGAGGCAGAGCGCTCACTAAATGCAGGTGCATTTATTAACAAGTGCCAGAGTTCCAGGATTCACAAGATAAAATGTACACCATTGAAAAATATATACAAATTACACACATGCCTCAAAGTATTCTCTTTCAAGGCCTTCAACTCTGGCCTGGCATAACCCTCTCTCCTCACTGTCAAATGGCAAATTATAGCTTATTGTAGCCTTGCAGGAAACCACCTCAAAGGAAACTGATCAACAATTACATGGCTTCAATTAAGCAATAAGGCACAAGGGGGTGTGGTATATGGCCAATATACCACGGCTAAGGGATGTTCTTAATCACGACACAACACGGAGGGCCTGGATCTAGCCCTGAGCCGTGGTTTATTTTTTTTAACCAGGAAGGGCTCATTGAGATTTAAAATCTCTTTTTCAAGAGCGTCCTGGCCAAGATAGGCAGCACCAAGTCATTACAAAAAATTACAGACAGACAACATGAAAAACTACAAGTAATCTAGTAAAAACCATTCATGAATTCACAAGAGTATAACAATATAAAAAACAGCAAATTAAAAACATTGACAGGTCAGGGAATCAGCCTCAAAATGGTACAACGCCTTGCTAAAGTATTCATCCCCCTTGGCGTTTTTCCTATTTTCTTGCATTACAACCTGTAATTTAAATGGATTTTTATTTGGATTTCATGTAATGCACATACACAAAAGAGTCCAAATTGGTGAAGTGAATTTTTTTTTCATAACTTGTTTCAACATATTATTTAAAAAAGAACAGAAAAGTGGTGTGTGCATATGTATTCACCCCCTTTGCTATGAAGCCCCTAAATAAGATCTGGTGCAACCAACTACCTTCAGAAGTCACATAATTAGTTAAATAAAGTCCACCTGTGTGCAATCTAAGTGTCACATAATCTCTAATATATACATACATATACACACACACAGCTCAAAAAAATTAAGGGAACACTAAAATAACACATCCTAGATCTGAATGAATGAAATAATCTTATTAAATACTTTTTTCTTTACATAGTTGAATGTGCTGACAACAACAATCACACAAAAATTATCAATGGAAATCAAATGTATCAACCCATGGAGGTCTGGATTTGGAGTCACCCTCAAAATTAAAGTGGAAAACCACACTACAGGCTGATCCAATTTTGATGTAATGTCCTTAAAACAAGTCAAAATGAGGCTCAGTAGTGTGTGTGGCCTCCACGTGCCTGTATGACCTCCCTACAACACCTGGGCATGCTCCTGATGAGGTGGCGGATGGTCTCCTGAGGGATCTCCTCCCAGACCTGGACTAAAGCATCCGCCAACTCCTGGACAGTCTGTGGTGCAACGTGGCGTTGGTGGATGGAGCGAGACATGATGTCCCAGATGTGCTCAATTGGATTCAGGTCTGGGGAATGGGCGGTCCATAGCATCAATGCCTTCCTCTTGCAGGAACTGCTGACACACTCCAGTCACATGAGGTCTAGCATTGTCTTGCATTAGGAGGAACCCAGGGCCAACTGCACCAGCATATTGTCTCACAAGGGGTCTGAGGATCTCATCTCGGTACCTAATGGCACAGGCTACCTCTGGCGAGCACACGGAGGGCTGTGCGGCCCCCCAAAGAAATGCCACCCCACACCATGACTGACCCACCGCCAAACCGGTCATGCTGGAGGATGTTGCAGGCAGCAGAACGTTCTCCACAGCGTCTCCAGACTCTGTCACGTCTGTCACATGTGCTCAGTGTGAACCTGCTTTCATCTGTGAAGAGCACAGGGCGCCAGTGGCGAATTTGCCAATCTTGGTGTTCTCTGGCGAATGCCAAACGTCCTGCACGGTGTTGGGCTGTAAGCACAACCCCCACCTGTGGACGTCGGGCCCTCATACCACCCTCATGGAGTCTGTTTCTGACCGTTTGAGCAGACACATGCACATTTGTGGCCTGCTGGAGGTAATTTTGCAGGGCTCTGGCAGTGCTCCTCCTTGCACAAAGGCGGAGGTAGCAGTCCTGCTGCTGGGTTGTTGCCCTCCTACGGCCTCCTCCACGTCTCCTGGTAGCGCCTCCATGCTCTGGACACTATCAATCAGTGTTGCTTCCTAAGTGGACAGTTTGATTTCACAGAAGTGTGATTGACTTGGAGTTACATTGTGTTGTTTAAGTGTTCCCTTTATTTTTTTTGAGCAGTGTATATACACACATACATACATACACACACACCTGTTCTGAAAGGCCCCAGAGTCTGCAACACCACCAAGCAAGCAGCACCATGAAGACCAAGGAGCTCTCCAAACAGGTCAGGGACAAAGTTGTGGAGAAATACAGATCAGGGTTGGGTTATAAAAATATGGCACCACAACAAACCTGCCAAGAGAGGGCCGCCCACCAAAACTCACAGACCTGGCAAGTAGGGCATTAATCAGAGGCAACAAAGAGACCAAAGATAACCCTGAAGGAGCTGCAAAGCTCCACAGCGGAGATTGGAGTATATGACCACTTTAAGCCGTACACTCCACAGAGCTGGGCTTTACAGAAGAGTGGCCAGAAAAAAGCCATTGCTTCAAGAAAAAAAATAAGCAAACATGTTTGGTGTTCGCCAAAAGCAATGTGGGAGACTCCCCAAACATATGGAAGAAGGTACTCTGGTCAGATGAGCCTAGACTTGAGCTTTTTGGCCATCAAGGAAAACGCTATGTCTGGCGCAAACCCAACCTCTCATCACCCCGAGAACACCATCCCCACAGTGAAGCATGTTTTTCATCGTCAGGGACTGGGAAACTGGTGAGAATTGAAGGAATGATGGATGGCGCTAAATACAGGGAAATTGAGGGAAACCTGTTTCAGTCTTCCAGAGATTTGAGACTGGGACGGAAGTTCACCTTCCAGCAGGACAATGACCCTAAGCATACTGCTAAAGCAACACTCGGGTGGTTTAAGGGGAAGCATTTAAATGTCTTGGAATGGCCTAGTCAAAGCCCAGACCTAAATCCAATTGAGAATCTATGGTATGACTTAAAGATTGCTGTACACCAGCGGAAACCATCCAACTTGAAGGAGCAGGAGCAGTTTTGCCTTGAAGAATGGGCAAAAATCCCAGTGGCTAGATGTGCAAAGCTTATAGAGACATACCCCAAGAAACTCGCAGCTGTAATTACTGCAAAAGGTGGCTCTACAAAGTATTGACTTTGGTGGGGTGAATAGTTATGCATGCTCATGTGTTCAATTTTTTTGTCTTATTTCTTGTTTCACAAAAAATATTTTGCATCTTCAAAGTGGTAGGCATGTTGTGTAAATCAAATGATACAAACCCCCCCAAAAAATATATTTTAATTCCAGGTTGTAAGGCAACAAAATAGGAAAAATGCCAAGGGGTGAATACTTTCGCAAGCCATATACCACAAACCCCCGAGGTACCTTATTGTTATTATAAACTGGTTACCAATGTAATTAGAGCAGTAAAAACAAATGGATACAATTGCAAGCTGTTTGACAGCGGACTTCCAAACCAGGAAGCGCCAGAAGCCTCACCCAACACGAGAGAGTACTCTTAAATGAATTATACAAACCTTTACAATTTCAGGGGTTAAAGCAACAACAAAAAATCCCATGACTGAAACTTAAGTGAGATCGATTGTCTGGGGCAAAGTTAACCTCCCCTTTCATCTAAGAAAGTCACGACCATCATGCTTTTAGGGAAAGAGGATCATTTGGTACATGCATACAGTATGAAAATGTATGCACTCACTAACTGTAAGTCGCTCTGGATATGAGCGTCTGCTAAATGACTAAAATGTAAAAAGTAAAATGTATTAAACTGAGTTTGACCAATTCCAGTCTCCTTGCTTTGGGGGTCCGGGGTCTTCCTCCCCAGAATATTTTTTATGTAGAAAGACTGAGAAGCTCAGTTCTGGTGACTTTTTAAAAAGGCAATTTTACTCCAAAATGAATGACAATAAAATATGCCGTCACCATCTAAAATATACTTTCCACCTCCAGAAATGGGCCAAATAACATATTGGTAAAAATTATGCCTAATTTTTAATATATATTTTTTAAAGATATTGGACCATGCATATAGCCTAGGCATGGTCTGTCTATATTATCAGATGTACCATTAGCAATTAGCATCATCACCTGTAGCCAACTGATGAAGCATATAAAAATGGACATAGGCTGAAGCATGGGGGTTTATAATCTTCATTTATCCCCATTGGACCAAACATCCTGATTGTTATTATTATAAATTCACTTGGAATTTTTGTTGTTGTTTCTATTAAAAAAGTATGTAATTGCCTTTTAAGAGCTCTGTTGCACAGCTGCACCTCATCCATGCTTGAAACTCTGCATTTGTTAAACGATGCCACACACGCAATTGAAGGAGTACAGAAATAAACTTGGTAGCAATGTAAAATTGGGTTCCCCCTCTATTTTTAAAGGCCAAAACTGCTTTCAAAAGTGTTTTTGCGAGATTGCATTAAGAATTGTTGCACATTGACTGCTTGTCAGAATACATGTTTCTCTTCTATGGCTCTCACAACTTGAATGCACCTCGAGAGGAATATTTATCTTGCATAGAACACACAACAAGCAGTCTAGTTAAATAGATCAACTATTCTACTATGGAGTTTTAATAACAATATTACATGGCAAGAATAGTAGCACTGGAAAGTTCCATCCTGAGGGATAAAGTCTAGGCTTTGAAATACTTTTCCAGCAGCTACAAACCGCTGTCTGAGTTGAGCTGCACATTATAGAGACTATTTCATTATGTTCATCTGAACATCAGTGTCATTGTTGTTTATAAAGAATACTGCTAATCTTTGCTGTGAGACCAAGGAGTCCGCTTACACTGTACTTTGATTATAAAGGTTTATTTATATCACAAGATTTCAGCATAAGTTTACAGACGTCTGCAGGCATCTGGAGAACAATGACCCGAAAATAATATGTTGTTCTGACCTCCTTTGTCTCAACCAAGTATTTATAATCTTTACCATGATATGGGTGTTTTCCCCATACAGACCAATCCCATGACTCCACACAACAGACTTCCTCTGTCTTATGGGGTGCCCCTATAAAACTGCTCCCCAGATGCTTCCCTAAGCTGAATCAACATCCTCCAAGATACCATTTGAAAACGTTAGCAAAGTCATAAATTCCTCAGATACCACATCATCAACAACCATGCATGTCAGTTCAGTGCATTTTTAGTGACGGGCGTGCAGCTTAGTCACATTCCATCTCATTCTCACTGTAGTCAGACAGATGTCCTCTCCTCAGGATCTCCCTGCCCCCCCCCCAGGCAGACAGGTCAAACTCTTCATCCTTCACACGCAGCATTTCTACACAGACAGAGAGAGAGCACATAATGCATCAATATACTGAAGCAAATTCAGGGGGAAGCCACGTCCAAGACTCGAACCTGGGTCCAGCGACTGTCAACCCAACATCTTAGCCATTAATTACGTAAAGAGATTCAAAGGCTTCAATATTGTAAATTAATAAAAAAGGCACCCCCTCCTTTTGGTGAGGTTTGGTGGTTGCTTGGGCGCTGCCCATGCTAAAACAAACTATGGTCCAAACGCACCCTTTCTCTATGGACTCGCCCTAGCCTAACGGTTAAGACCGTTTGGCCAGTAACCGAAAGGTCGCTAATTCGAATCCCAGAGCCGACTAGGTGAACAATCTGTCGATGTGCCCTTTGAGCAAGGCACTTAACCCTAATTGCTCCTGTAAGTCACTCTGGATAAGAGCGTCTGCTAAATGACTAAAATGTAAATGGAGTCAACTGAGCATGGAATGGACTCACCCTCCATCTACCTCTATGGACTCACCCCGAGCGTGGACGTCACACTGCCTGAGTCTGCACTTCTGTCTGATCTTTTGGGGTCCTCCAAACTTCTTCATGTCTTTACAGAAATCACACAGAGCGCAGTCCTCAGTCCTCCTGCACGGCTCACACGCCCCACACATACGGATCGAACGCCTCACCTGCACACACATGGGAATCACACTGGAATCACACTTCAGGGTTTTTTCTGCCTAGAAAAGGCTTGGGCGGGTCATAAAAAAAAATATATATATATATATATATGGAATGGACTTAACTATGGCAAAATGCATAGAATTACAGGAAATTTGCTTTAAAAACTGCAACATTTTCTCAGCTCCATGTCAGAACGTATAGGATTGCAGGAAATTTGCTTTAAAACACAAAAATACTCTACGCCGCCAAGATCAGGTCTCAAAAGTGTTCTTGCCCAGGACTTGGAAAGAATTCAGCCGTGCCGACCCCCCAGGTCACTAATGGGGACTCTTTAAAAAAGGACAATCTACTTTAAAATTATTTAAAATGAAATTGTCAACACCATGTGAAAGAATTTTCCCTTTTAAAGAATGATAACATGTAGACCAACTGATGCAGCATAGCTGCGTTTAATAAATAGACTGAAGGATGGGGTTGCCCATCTGCATTTACCCCCAAAAACTCAATTCATTAAATATACATTGCAACTTAAAAGTGCATCTCGGCAGAACTAATATATGCCGCCACTCCAAAATAAAATCGTACATTTATTTGGATTTTTTGGAGTGGCGGCAACTCTGCTAAATGAATATAGGGGTTAACCCTGTACATTCTGTGGAATTGATGTATTTTCCACACACACACACACACACCGGCATTCTTTATCCTGTGTGTTTTCCATACATATTAAATAAAGAAAACATTTGACACGAAAGTCTTCCTACACACCTTGCAATAATAAGGAGCAGCAGCCATTTGACTAGATGATGTCAAACAGGGAAACATGGTCTCCGTCCTGCCTCCAGCACTGGTATGGAACCTTTCTCCATTCTTTGTCTGTTTTGTCATTGATTTGAGTGTCTTAGACCCTGACAGTAGTCCTCCTCTCTCCACCTCATCATCACTTTCCCTGTTTTCACTCTGAGCTGCAGAACAGTCTGGATTTACTTCAGAGAGGGGCGGAGAGTCACTGGTTGGTTCTGATACTCTGTAGTCCTCTCCATCTGGTTCTGTTTTGATCTCTTCAGTTGTGTAGGTGAGTAGAGAGTCCCTCTCTCTGTCCTCCACAGTTTGGGTTTGGTGAAGATGTGAGGGCTGAGGTGGGTCCTCCTGATCACAGTCACTTTCCATAAAGGGAGAAGTGAATATGGAGCCTTTGGTATCAAAGGGCCCATGAAGCTGCTCTTCCTCCTGACTGGTCCAGAGTTCCTCTTTATTCAGTGTGGGCCATGGGTCCTCCTGCCCCAAACTGGGGCTCCAGTCCTGCTTCTCAGGGGGAACCTCTTCAGATATGGGGAGAGTGAACTGCTGGGGATCTGATAGAGAGAAAAAAAAAATATAGGAAATATAAAGTTGCTGATAATTCAATAAATATACTTTTTCAATCTTCTCTGGTCCCTGAAACATGCAATTACAATAAGTTGAAAAAGCTAGCTAGCTATTTTATCATTTCTGTTTAATTGGATTTAGAACCGCTAGCTAAAATGATTCAACAATACAATTGTAGCTATGTAAAATTATCTTCACAACATTAACTTGCTATCCGTTTGATTTATGTAAGTTCAGCTAACACTAACTTCCTGACTGATGTCTTGAGATGTTGCTTCAATATATCCACATAATTTTCCTTCCTCATGACGCCATCTATTTTGTGAAGTGCACCAGTCCCTCCTGCAGCAAAGCACCCCCACAGCATGATGCTGCCACCCCGTGCTTCACGGTTGGGATGGTGTTCTTCTGCTTGCAATCTACCCCCTTTTTCCTCCAAACATAACTATGGTCATTATGGCCAAACAGTTCCATTTTTGTTTCATCAGAACAGAGGACATTTCTCCAAAAAGTACGATCTTTGTCTCCATGTGCAGTTGCAAACCGTAGTCTGGCTTTTTAATGGCGGTTTTGGAGCAGTGGCTTCTTCCTTGCTGAGCGGCCTTTCAGGTTATGTCGATATAGGCCTCGTTTTACTGTGGATATAGATACTTTTGTACCCGTTTCCTCCAGCATCTTCACAAGGTCCTTTGCTGTTGTTCTGGGATTGATTTGCACTTTTCGCACCAAAGTACGTTCATCTGTAGGAAACAGAACGCGTCTCCTTCCTGAGCGGTATGACGGCTGCGTGGTCCCATGGTGTTTATACTTGCGTACTATTGTTTGTACAGATTAACGTGGTACCTTCAGGCGTTTGGAAATTGCTCCCAAGGATGAACCGGACTTGTGGAGGAGGTCTACAATTTTTTTTCTGAGGTCTTGGCTGATTTCTTTTGATTTTCCCATGATGTCAAGCAAAGTGGCACTGAGTTTGAAGGTAGGCCTTGAAATACATCCACAGGTACACCTCCAATTGACTCAAATGTTGTCAATTAGCCTATCAGAAGCTTCTAAAGCCATGACGGCTATTAATGATCGGCTATGAAAAGCCAACTGAGAGACCTGAGCCCTAGGACCATACGTCGGGACTACCGGCCGTGGTGACTCCTTGCTGTCCCCAGTCCGCCTGGCCTTGCTGCTATTCCAGTTTCAACTGTTCTGCCTGCGGTTATGGAACCCCTACCTGTCCCAGACCTGCTGTTTTCAACTCTTAATGATCGGCTTTGAAAAGCCAACTGAGATTTATTCCTGATTATTATTTGACCATGCTTGTCACTTATGAACATTTTTGAACATCTTGGCATGGTTCTGTTATAATCTTCACCCGGCACAGCCAGAAGAGGACTGGCCACCCCTCATAGCCTGGTTCCTCTCTAGGTTTCTTCCTAGGTTTTCGCCTTTCTAGGGAGTTTTTCCTAGCCACCGTGCTTCTACACCTGCATTACTAGCTGTTTGGGGTTTTAGGCTGGGTTTCTGTACAGCACTTCGAGATATTAGCTGATGTAAGAAGGGCTATATAAAATAAAATTGATTGATTGATTGATTGATGACATCATTTTCTGGAATTTTCCAAGCTGTTTAAAGGCACAGTCAACTTAGTGTATGTAAACTTCTGACCCACTGGAATTGTGATCGTGAATTATAAGTGAAATAATCTGTCTGTAAACAATTGTTCTCATGGTCTGAGAGTCCTTTAGGTGCCTTTTGGCAAACTCCAAGTGGGCTGTCGTGCCTTTTACTGAGGAGTGGCTTCCGTCTGGCCACTCTACCATAAAGGCCTGATTGGTGGAGTGCTGCAGAGATGGTTGTCCTTCTGGAAAGTTCTCCCATCTCCACAGAGGAACTCTGGAGCTCTGTCAGAGTGACCATCGCGTTCTTGGTCACCTCCCTGACCAAGGCCCTTCTCCCCCAATTGCTCAGTTTGGCCAGGTGGCCAGCTCTAGGAAGAGTCTTGGTGGTTCCAAACTTCTTCCATTTAAGAATGGAGGCAGGCCACTGTGTTCTCGGGGACCTTCAATGCTGCAGAATTTTTATTGTACCGTTCCCCAGATCTGTGCCTTGACACAATCCTGTCTCGGAGCTCTACGGACAATTCCTTTGACCTCATGGCTTGGTTTTTGCTCTGACATAAACTGTCAACTGTGGGACCTTATATAGACAGGTGTGCCTTTCCAAATCAATTGAATTTACCACAGTTGGACTCCAATCAAGTTGTAGAAACATCTCAAGGATGATCAATGGAAACAGGATGCACCTGAGCTCAATTTTGAGTCTCATAGCAAAGGGTCTGAATACTTATGTAAATAAGGTTTTTATTTGTAATAATTTAGCAAAATTTTTTTTTTTTTAAGAATACGGCTGTAACGTAACAAAACGTGGAAAAAGTTAAAGGGTCTGAATACTTTCCGAATGCACACCAGTATTGATGCATGGACCAGTTTGAGTTTTTACTTTAACGGCATTTGAATGTTTGCTTTGTTACATGTGATGCGCTACTCTGCACTGGTGTAGTACACACCGCAAGGTATTACATTTTAAAACTGCATTAAGCTTTAAAACTGCAATATGGCAGTCTCATGGCAAAATGTGTAGAATAGCAGGGAATTAGGTCAGGGACTCTTGAAAGTCAGGAAATACATGTCTGGCAAGGAACATTTCATGTATACATTGCATTCAGAAAGTATTCAGACGCTTTCACTTTTTCCACATTTTGGGTTACAGCATAATTTTTAAATGGAAGAAGAATTAAGAATCTCAAATATAAAATACATTGATTTGTTTAACACATTTTTGGTTACTACATGATTCCATGTGTTATTTCATAGTTTTGATGTCTTCACTATTATTCTACAATGTAGAAAATAGTAAAAATTAAGAAAAAACATTGAATGAGTAGGTGTGTCCAAACTTTTGACTGGTACTGTATGTGTGAAATTTGTTTTGATTTAGAATTGACCATTATCACGCACCTTTATCGAAACAGGGTCAGCGGGAAAAAAATACATGTCATCTATGCACTTAAATAGCAAATGGAGGATGCTTTTCCCCGTAGTTTAGTTTCATGCCAGCCAGGTAGGCTATACCCCTGTTGTAAATATAAGCAATGTGCTTAATATTAGGAAAGTTGAGAAATAAATAGTAGGTCTAGCCTATAGAAAGCTGATCATCCTATTTTTAGTAGAGGCCATCACTCTGTTTTCTCGCACAATTGCATAGCCTATTGAAATGTTGCACAACATGAGCTCTCATTAAGTGTTTGATTAGATTTCCAATGACATTTACATTGATGTCAGAGTGATTAGAGGGACAATAGAGTGCTGAGTACCAGGCAGTTAAGCAAGTTTGGTAGGCTACTAATGACCAGCAGCATCAGAGCTTGGAGAAGCCTAATTACCTTGACTAAACGGTCACGTTGAATTTGACTGCCTTCATGAATCATGACCGCCGGTGTGGCTGTAATACGGTCACCGCAACAGCCCTACATACACCTGTCTATATAAGGTCCCAGAGTTGACAGTGCATGTCAGAGCAAAAACCAAGCCATGAGGTTGAAAGAATTGTCCCTAGCGCTCTGCAGCATTGTAGGTCCCGAAGAACACAGTGGCCTACATCATTATTGGCTACCCGGCCAAACTGCGCAATCGGGGGAGAAGGGCCTTGGTCGGGGAGGTCACCAAGAACCCGATGGTCACACTGACAGAGCTCCAGAGTTCCTCTGTGGAGATTGGAGAACCTCCCAGAAGGACAACCATCTCCGCAGCACTCCTCCAATTAGGCCTTTATGGTAGAGTGGCCAGATGGAAGCCACTCCTCAGTAAAAGACATGACAGCCCGCTTGGAGTTTGCCAAAAGGCACCTAAAAAGGTCTATGACCATGAGAAACAAGATTCTCTGGTCTGATTAAACCAATATTGAACTCTTCCGGCCTGAATGCCAAGCGTCACATCTGGAGGAAACCTGGCACCCTCCCTATGGTGAAGCATGGTTGTGGCAGTATCATGCTGTGGGGATGTTTTTCAGCGGCAGGGACAGGGAGACTAGTCAGGATTGGGGAAAGATTAAAGGAGCAAAGTACAGAGAGATCCTTGATGAAATCCTGCTCCAGAGCGCTCAGACTGGGGTGAAGGTTCACCTTCCAACAGGACAACGACCCTAAGCACACTGACAAGACAACGCAGGAGTGGCTTCGGAACAAGTCTCTGAATGTCCTTGATTGGTCCAGCCAGTTCATCCATTTGTTTTGATCTAAATCGCAAGTCAAATCGCAATTGCAATATTTGGTTAAAAATAAAGCCTAGATTTTTTTTGCCCATATCGTGCAGCCCTACGTGGCAGTGTAGAAATCATCTCAAATGAGGAAATGCAGAAATGTATGAAAATGCTGAAAATAATTGTTGAAGTTTGATTGAACCTTATAAAAAAATTAATCAGAATGGCGAAAGCAAGCCTAATTGAAATCACGTAGAATGTATGCGTTTACAACTTAGGGTAATGTGCTACTCATAAAGCAAATATAGAACTTTTACTATATAAAATATTGCTATGATATTTGGGCCATGTCACCCAGCCCTACCACCAAAAGCACACCACCAAAAACCCTGTTGTGGCAATAAATCACTGATGTCTATTCGGGGGAAATCTGGTTGTACAGGCTGCTGAAACTAACAAAGAAACATGGAAACTGGATATATATTTTTTAAATTACTGGTTAGAGAACAACCTGCAGAAGACAGTGAGCTACATTTTGTAAATGCATTTTGATTTGGGGGTTGCCACAACACTCATTTGTCAACAACTCAATTTGATATCACATTGAAATCAATTGCAGGAGAGGGGAGAGATGAGGTTGCACGTCCTGTTAAAACCAACATCTCAAAAACCACACGGAATCTGGGATTAATGTGTACATCACTGCTTTGTGGACAATTTATTGAAGACAGCAAGCTACATTTTGAAGTGCTGCATTTTGATTCAATGCAGTAAGTGTAATTCAACACTTTGTTTGGGGTTTAGCGCTGTTTAAACTAACACTATTCAAAGGCCACACGGAAACTTGGAATAACCTATACATGGTTGGTTCGAGGAGAACTTGTAGAAGGCTTATATCTATATTTTGGAATGTCGGATGTTGATTTCGGGAGGCTGCCATCATGGAAAAGGTAACAAACTACTTTTTCTGTAGTTAATTTAAACGAATCAAGGCGCGGCATAGGATATCAACAGTGACAACGGTTGGCTGCTTTTTAAGCGATAGTTTGACTGTCAAATTCATGTATTGAGGCCAGCGACTTTTAGATAGACCGCCATTTCATTAAAATGGTGCTACGCATAGGATTTGTATAAACATTTTGCATTGTAATTTCAGAAAATATACATAATATATCTGGCGCTAATAGTGGAATGATAGTTTTTCACAATATTACTTACCCGCCAGTGTTGTGATTAGCTGTGATATTCAGCGACTGATTTCTCCCGTAGGAGCGGCATCTGCTGTCAAACTGGGAAAGCTGTTCTAACTTTGTGGCTGTGTTATCGTGGAAATCGATCTGTTTAACCCTGGTGGCTAAAATTCTACACTGTTCACTCAATTTCTGTTTGTGAGAGAAAACAAGCATTGAATACTGTAGGGAATCATTGTACCATCTATATAGCTGTGAAATGTATTTTCAATAACATAAAATAAAGTTTTTACAGCTGTTTGAAGCTGGTGGACCAAAACGAAAGTTACTTTCGGTTTTGGTCCACCAGCTTCCGACAGCTGTAAAAACAGTTTTTTTGTCATTGAAAATGCACAACATTACCAAAGGTATGTGGACACCTGCTCGTCGAACATCTTATTCCAAAGTCAAGGGCAAAAATATGGAGTTGGTCGCCCTTTTGCTGCTGTAACAGCCTCCACTCTTCTGGGAAGGCTTTCCACTAGATGTTGGAACATTGCTGCGGGGACTTGATTCCGTTCAGCCACAAGAGCATTAGTGAGGTCGGGCACTGATGTTGGGCGATTAGGCCTGGCTTGCAGTTGGCGTTCCAGTTCATCCCAATTCATCTCAAAGGTGTTCGATGGGGTTGAGGTCAGGGCTCTGTGCAGGCCAAGTTCTTCCACACCGATCTCGACAAACCATTTCTGTATGGACCTCGCTTTGTGCACGGGGGCATTGTCATGCTGAAATAGGAAAGGGCCTTCCCCAAACTGTTGCCACAAAGTTGGAAGCACAGAATTGTCTAATGCTGTAGCGTTAAGATTTCCCTTCACTGGATCTAAGGGGCCTAGCTCGAACCAGGAAAAACAGACCCAGACCATTATTCCTCCTCCACCAAACTTTACAGTTGGCACTATGCATTGGGGCAGGTAGCGTTCTCCTGGCATCCGCAAAACCCAGATTCCTCTGTCAGACTGCCAGATAGTGAAGCGTGATTCATCACTCCAGAGAACATGTTTCCACTGCTCCAGAGTCCAATGACGGCAAACTTTACACCACTCCTGTCGACACTTGGCATTGCGCATTGTGATCTTAGGCTTGTGTGTGGCTGCTCGGTCATGGAAATCCATTTCACAAAGCTCCCAACGAACAGTTCTTGTGCTGACGTTACTTCCAGAGGCAGTTTGGAACTCGGTAGTGAGTGTTGCAACCAAGGACAGACGATTTTTACTCGCTACACGCTTCAGCGGTCCCGTTCTGTTAGCTTGTGTGGCCTACCACGTCACGGTTGAGCAGTTGTTGATCCTAGACGTATCCACTTCACAATAACAGCACTTACAGTTGACCGGGGCAGCTCTAGCAGGGCAGAAATTTGACCAACTGACTTGTTGAAAGATGGCATCATATGACTGTGCCACGTTGAAAGTCACTGAGCTCTTCAGTAAGGCCATTCTACTGCCAATGTTTGTCTATGGAGATTGCATGGCTGTATGCTCGATTTTACACACCCGTCAGCAACGGGTGTGGCTGAAATAGCTTTTCCACTCATTTGAAGGGGTGTCCACATGCATACATACATATATATTTCACAGCAATTTAGATTGTATAATGCACCTTTAACTCCGGGGTCTAAATCCTGCACAAACCAGAACATGTGACAAAATCAACTGTACAAAACCAAAGATATTGATAAGTTAAGCAATCAATCTTAGGTCATCGTGATGACTAAACTTGTATACCAACACCACCAATGAGGTAAAAGGGATATGTAATTCCACTCAATTTTATGGGGTGAAAATGCAAGCTTGTGTAAGGTAGTAACACAAACTGTCCAAATTAGGGAAATTAGCGCAATATCGATAATTGTATATGGAATAATAATTCAACATGTCAATTTAGGATGATAGTATATGTTCCCACTCACCAACTATTGCAACAATGACATCTATTTCTCACTCGGCGATCTAGACTAGCCTCCATAGAGTCTGTGCAGCCTCAATGTTTGACGTCCCTAGTTTTAGAATTTACATTTTGAAGTATCGACTTAACAGAGACTCGAGAGTTGGAGGTTCATTAAAAAAAACTTTAGTCTGCGTTCAACTCCGTGTGAGATATTTGGCTAGCTAATTACAGTAACTGGTCAATACAAACCTGCTCTGTGTAACTTTATCTCTGGTTTCAAAACCAAATCAAACCACTTTCGTAGACGGCCGTTCTCCTCCTTCAAACGGGAGATTTCTTCATTCAAACGGGAGATTTCTTCATGCAACTCTGTTGTGTCTTTGGCTACGGAGATCTCTCTAGCAACCGCTGTTTGTGGTTCAGTAACATACTCGTTCAGCAACTGTAGTTTAGGCATTTTGAACGGAATGAAAGTCGACATGTTCGTATTATTCTGTTCCGCCTGTAACGTTACATTTGATATGGACGAACAATTAAATTGAGATAGGCTATATAAATAGCGTGCAAAACCAAATATTAGCTTCTTCCTCTCTGGCAAAACACGTTTAAACGGTAACTCTCAACCCCACCTTCCGCATTTGCCTTTGCCCAAGCCCTTCATATATATATAAACAAAACAAATTGTGGGTGGGGGCAATTGCTCATTTAAAATTCATTTTGGGAGTGGGGTAACCGTAGTTGTTCCTGGGCCACATTCAGGTGCCAAACGTTATTGAACGTTGCAGATAGAAATGCCATGAATAGAGCTGATGTGATTCCTTATTCTACATGCCAGAGAGCTATGTTTGTTCTACATACGCTATTTCTATCTGAACGTTCCAAGACGTTGCGTCCTACTGAACGCAGATCCCAGATCCCAACACTTTCTCACTAAAGCATACTCACCAGCAGTCCTCGTGAACAAATGCAGGTCTGGACAGTTAGTTCACAGTGGTAAGGCGCCATTTTCCTGACGTCTGCAAAAAAATTGATGAATTATGGACTCACATTTATTGCGGTATTGTGTTTGGAAGAAAAGTGCACTCATCACCTTGAAAATGAAGATTAGGGGCTCAATTCAATCCAACCCGCATTGCAGGAATTTACGCAGTAGCTCTTTTTCCAATGGTCAAATTAACTCACAGATTGGTCTCGGGTACTGTATTAAAAAACGTAGAATTTGGTAATATGCGGAAATGTGCTACCTTGTGAATTTTGTGTAACGTCAGTAGTCTATTCAAGGAAGCATCATGCAAAATATATTGGCACGCTCCACTTACCAAGATTATTGCCAAATAAGGCGCCTGCAGTTTATCCTAAACCAGCAGCTGCTGCTAGTATAATTGACGTGTTTTACTATAACTAAGCCTAGAAACCCGCACACTGCTGTTGCTAGTATCACTGCTCTTTATTAAGCTTTGTGTAGCCGCCTCAGGGCCTTTGTGAGTGTTCATAATTTGCACCCTTATTTTACATTTTAGTCATTTAGCAGACGATCTAATCCGGAGCGATTTACAGTTAGTGAGTGCGTACATTTTTCATACCCCTTATGTAGACATTGCTCCACCCACATCCGTTCAATGCATCGAATGAGGTTGGATTCGAGGGAAAATAAAAGTGTTACCAAATATAACAATGTGCATTTCATAAGTATTCTAATAAAGTGTGTAGATAAAACGTATTAAACACGTCTGTAAAACCACAACGAGGATATCGACCTATCAAGTAAGTTTTCATAAATCATTGGGTACAATGCAAGAAAAAACGTCAGTCATCTGAAGTGGTGGCATTAGTTCATGTTCACATTTAACGTTACAACATAACATGCACGGGCATTTCATCATTATGACCTTTTGGGAATAATGTCTGGAGGGTGAAAATCCCAAAACATAATATTTTGCTCAGAGTAATATTTAAATCACCTCCCCTGTTTGATATCTTCACTTTCTCTATGCCACAACATCTAAAAGGTAGAAATGTCATGTTTTTGGTCATTAAAATGTACCGCGACTGTCGTTTCTCCTGATTTTAATTTTTATGTTCACTAATTATCTGTTTGAGAGAACGAGAGGTTTAACCTAAATAACACAGCCCACATGGACATTGATCTGCTGGGGATTTGATAAAGTAAAAATAGATAGTATAAAGTTGATAATAATTTAATAAATAATTTGTCATTTTCCAATCTAAAACTGATTACAAAGTTCTCTTCACTGGGCCCTAAACCATAGAGATATGAAATGTTAAAAAAGCTAGCTAGCTATCATTTCCATTTTACTGATTAGAATAGCTCCTGCTATAGTAGCCATTATCATGACTCCAACTCCATTGCATTGCTTTGGGCCAAGTATATTGGCACCCTTGCACTTCTCTTAAAGAATTCCCTATTTCTTCTAAAATAAGTTGAAATTGAAAGTAACTCTTGGTCTCCACACATTGTTATTGGATTTTCAACATTGCAGAGCCAATTTTTAGTTTACAATTTTAATTGAGAAATTAAAGACAAATGGAATGGACAAAATTATTGGCACCTCTGAGCTAGTACATGGTTGCACAGCCGCAAACTGTTCTAATTCTTTAATGTTTGGGGTGCGCTCCACCAACTGCTGTTTTCAGATCTCGCCATAAGTTATACCTGTGATTCAGATCTGGACTCTTCGCTGGCCACTCCAGAACCGTCCAGCATTTCTTCTTGAACCATTACCATAAAACATGTTCCAAGGTCAAATAAATGCCCCAATGCAAATCAGTGTACATGAAATCCATATTGGCTTATAGAGCAAAAACTATTCTAGATGTAGCAGTAAAAGTATGGTAGGGAATACTCAGTAGTGTCTGTAGAATGTATATATGGCGTCATGGGGCTCTGAATTATACGGAGTGTTGCTGGACTTTTACTCCATCCATTCCAATGGCAATACATGCTGTCACGCAGCATAATTAAACATTTGATTTCCAATTTTGGGATGTTGCCAAAACTTTTCAATGGCCAACTGGAACGACCATTGTCACTAATCGTAGTGTCAAAATTCTTAGGAATATGTGGAACAAGAATATAAGTAACATTCAAAGTCTTGTTAATCAGATTGAGGAACAGCTTGAGTTGACCAACTCTTTGAGCCTGTCACCCATATGTGATGAGATAGGAAATGAGGGTGACACAGAGCAGCACAGTCAAAGACAGTACACTAATTGATAGAAAAACACCAATCAAACAGAGAGTGGGGAGGAGACACCAGGCGGTGTCTGAGGAAGTCCCCAAATATTTCCAAACACTCCAGCCACCCCAGCCATGGACCATTCTCTCAGCTACTGTCCGTCAGGCGGTACCAGAGCATTGGGTCTCGGACCAAAAGGCGCCGAGACAGCTTCTATCACCAAGCACTGAGACTTTTGAACAGCCAAAGACTCCAGGCACTGAGACTTTTGAACAGTAAATCAATGGCTGCCCACCCTCACCCACAGTCTATCTACACTGACTATATGCCACTCACGGGTCTCTACCCACACACTCACACACGCCTATACTGACACTCTTGCACATACACAGACACACACACACATACACTCACATACACACACTCATCACCACACACACACCCACCCACCCACCCCTTATGCTGCTGCTATATTGATGATGATTATTATTATTATTATTATTATTTATCCTGCTACCAGTCACAGTCTCCTTACCCCTTCCTGCACGTACATATCTACCTTAACCACTCCAGTATCCCTGCACATTGTACATTTGGTACTGGCACGGACCCTGTATATAGCTTACTTTCTCATGTTTTTCTTATTTCTCGTGTTAAAAAAAACAACTTTATACTATTTGATATTGAATACTGCATTGTTGGGAAAGAGCTAGCAAGTAAGCATTTCACTTCACTTGTGCATGTGACAATAAAACTTGAAACTAATTTGACTGTTGATGATCAATTTGATTAAACTAACTTCCTTGTTATATGTGTTATGAATAAAGTATATTTTTTTGGAACAAATTTATTTGCATCTCTCTTGACTTTTTGAATAAACACATTGTATGTGTTGTATTTTTTCTCAAGTGTTCACCAGAAGGAAGATTGTAGGATATTTGTCTTTTACATTATAAGGTATTTTGGAATGAAAATATACGAGTCCGATGACACAGTGCTATATTTGAACCATACAACAGTAAAAGTCCAGCAACACTTCCTTTGACTTAGCTTTAGGTTCAAACTCACCCTACAGAGTCTTTTCCCACCTAACTTTAGCTGAGAGAGGTGCTAAGCGGTCCAATACAGGGCTATGGAGGGGGAGGAGTAAAAAGCCAGCAACAGTCTGTAGACACAATCCCCTTACAAAACTAAACACATTTGGTTAGTAGAGACCCTACAGAGTATTTTCCACCTAACATTTTAGCTGAGACAGTTAGTAAACTTTTCCCTCTACAGTCCAGTATGTATTCCATATACAGGGAACTGCATTGTTCTGTTGCATGGGTATATAGTCACAAACTCTGAATAACCTAATCATTTGTATTTATTAGCAAAATATAGTAAGACAACTGCTGTGCACAGCACATAGCGTTATGGTTTCACAGAACTAGGATAAGATACACTGAACACTAATATAAACGCAACATGTAAAGTGTTGGTCCCATGTTTCATGAGCTGAAACAAAAGATCCCAGAAATGTTCCATACGCACAAAAAGCTTATTTCTCTAAAATTGTGCGCACACATTTGTTTACATCCCTGTTAGTGAGCATTTATCCCTTGCTGAGATAACCCATCCACCTGACAGGTGTGGCATATCAAGAAGCTGATTAAACAGCATGATCATTACACAGGTGCACCTTGTGCTGGGGACAATAAAGGCCACTCTAAAATGTGCAGTTTTGTCACACAACACAATGCCACAGATGTCTCAAGTTGAGGGAGTGTGCAATTGGCATACTGACTGCAGGAATGTCCACCAGCGCTGTTGCCAGAGAATTGAATGTTCATTTCTCTACCATAAGCCACCTCCAACGTAGTTTTACAGAATTTAGCAGTACATTCAACCAGCCTCACAACCGCAGACCACTTGTATGGCGTCATGTGGGCGAGCAGTTTTCTGATGTCAACTTTGTGAACAGAGTAACTATCCAGCAACTTTGCACAGTCATTGAAGAGGAGTGAGACAACATTCCACAGGCCACAATCAACAGCCTGATCAACACTATGTGAAGGAGATGTGTCGCGCTGCATGAGGCAAACGGTGGTCACACCAAATAGTGACTGGTTTTCTGATCCTTTTTATTTAAGGTATTTGTGACCAACAGATGCATATCTATTGTATTCCCAGTCATGTGAAATCCATAGTTTAGGGCCTAATTAATTTATTTCAATTGACTGATTACCTTATATGAATTGTAACTCAGTAAAATCTTAGAAAATTGTTGCATGTTGCATTTATA